TGTCCCCCTGGGTTATGGTATCAGGAAACTACAGATCAGCTGTGTAGTTGAGGATGACAAGGTAATAAATTAACCTATTTCACTAGATCAGCACGTAGCATTTTATCATCAAATAATTCTTCCTTTTCTTTGGATTATTTATAGCACTGCTCAACACTTCTTACCCCACGTTTCAGGTCAGCACAGACTTCTTAGAAGAAGTAAGATTCCCTTTTAAACCTGACGGTCTGTGACCTCGGCATATGAAGAGATAGTGTGGTCAGCACTATGCCCAGCCGCCTTTTAGAAGAAGAGATTACCAAATTTGAGGAACTTGTCGAGTCTGTTGATATTTTTGCATTTAAGTTTAAACTTCAACTATTTAAATAAACAATACAGATTAAAGAAAAGATAAACACATACAAAAAAAATTCATAAAAAACGTTTTAATAACAAGCTTTTATGTAATGATGCACTAAAAAGTAGAAAATAAATTATAGACTACTATTTAAATAACTATAAAGAAAAGCGTGGGTCACTTTCTTATCTATTGGATACCTTTACTAATGTTAAGGAAGACACCCACGCTTTTCTTTATAGTTATTTAAATAGTAGTCTATAATTTATTTTCTACTTTTTAGTGCATCATTACATAAAAGCTTGTTATTAAAACGTTTTTTATGAATTTTTTTAGCGCAATTTCCATTCTGGAGAATTGCGTTTATTAACTCGTCTTTTCTGGGAATGGATGGATGGATGTGTGTTCGCAGCTTTAAGTCGTATCTCCTCCTCAACGAAGCAATATCGATGACTAGTTCCAAAGCAATTATGTTAAGCAAGTTACCAGGATGAACATAGGCCAAAACAATTCCGGGTTTCTTTCATGGATTTCCCGTAGAAGCCAAAAAACCTCGACAAAAAGCAGTTTTTGGCCCATTTCTCGGCAACCAGACCACTTAGCGACTTGAAACATTTACCAATCGATTTCTGCCATAATTTAGAACAATATTGCCGAAGAAAGTTTTCAAAAATATCCTTTCGTTCGGTCACAACAATTTTTTTAAATTAATTAACATTTGGACCGAATTAGTAGGTATTTTTTCCAACCACACCACACGCGGTATCACGTTCAATAGCTGCGCCATCACGTTCAATGGCTGCGTCATCACGTTCATTAGCTAGGCGCGCAATGGTTTTTAGTCATGTAACTCTATTGTAAATAAAACATGTATTTTAACCAATGGTTTTACTAACCCTGCTCTTGATTTACGCTACGACAGAGCTATTTTTAGATAACATAAGGAAATTGCGCTAAAATTGTCACTAGACTTTTTAATTACCTTGTTTTCAGTACTTTACATGTTTTATTTACAATAGAGTTACATGACTAAAAACCATTGCGCGCCTACTGAACATCACGTTCAGTAGGCGCGCAATGGTTTTTGAACGCAGCCATTACGTGATGGCGCAGCTATTGAAGGTGATGACGCGTGTGGTGTGGTTGGCTAGACATGCCTACTAATTCGGTCCAAATTTTAATTAATTCATAAAAAATTAATTAGGCATCCAATTAAGTCAAATTTAGTTTCAGATTGCATTGTCTTCATGTCTTGACCCACGTGCTAACTTTGAATCGTATCGGTCAAGTAGAACTGTCCGAATTTTCACTCCTGCGTTTCCGTCTAGACAGACTTACGACAGACAGAGGAAGTGAGTTAAATAAAAGCTTGTAAAAAAAAATAAAATAAAATAATAAACACATACCGGGTATGATGAATGGGTATGTCATACCCATTCATCATTAAGCTACTTAGCGTGGTTGTCTCATTTGGGTAGGTGGGTGGGTGTGGTTGCTGTGTATGTGTAATGTGTGGGAGTAATAATTATACGTCAGGTTTTTAAAACTGAAGTGTTGTCTTACTCTTTCACCTTTACAGTATATTAAGTACTAAGATAATGAAATTAAAAAAACAATACATTTTTAATAATTAAAAAAAACCTTTAAATCCACAAATACTAGGTTAATAACATACATTTTCATAAGCTAACATATAATAGTGAAAATATATATTAGAAAAACATTTTTTTAAGATTGCAGTATCTATTTTTACTATTACAATCAAAGAAAAGGTATGTTTATTTTCTTTTTAGTGTATTTATGTTATTTTTATTGTAACATTTTTATACAGGTTTTTATTAAAATGGGAACTGCATGAGTTTAGAAATGAGCTGTCTTATTTCAATATAAAACAATTAAAACTTGCCTTTAGTACATCTAAATTGGTTAGATATATCTTCGCTAATTAATTACAAATTTTATTTCTGTACCAGAACTTAACTAGCAATCTATCGACATTTCCTTTTCCTTTTGAATAATAAATACAGCACTCATCCTGGCCTCTCGGGTAACCATGGAGACAACGATACACAACAACAACACCTAACAATGTTATCTGAGCACTGACGTTCAGTTTCTTCTATTGTGAAGTCCTTGAACCCAGAACTGTGGGTACGGTAAATCTTTGGTTCGATTGATTGGTTCTGATCGATACTGCTGAGGGAAAAGTTGATTGTGCTGCCCACTTAAACTACAGCCTTGGTTTTACCATCTATTTTTTGATGATACGTGAAGTAATATCTAGTGAATTACTTCTTGGTTGACTGAAGTCATATCAATAGAAACCTCTTGGTTGACTTAAGTCATAACATGTGAATTACCTCTTGGTTGACTGAAGTTATATCATGTGAATTACATCTAGATTGAGTGAAGTCACATCACGTGAATTACCTCTTGGTTGAGTAAAGTCACAAAACGTGAATTAACATTTACCTCTTGGTTGACTGAAGTCATATCATGTGAATTACCCCTATGTTGAATGAAGTCATATTATGTAAATTACCTATTATTGACTGAAGTCATATCATGTGGATTACCTCTTGGTTGACTGAAGTCACACACGTGAATTACCATTTACCTCTAGGTTGACTGAAGTCATACCATGTGAATTACCTTTTGGTTAAATGAAGTCATATCATGTGAGTTACCTCTTGGTTGACTGAAGTCATACCATGTGAATTACCTTTTGGTTGAGTGAAGTCATATCATATGAATTACCTCTTGGTTGACTGAAATCACACACATGAATTACAAGCTTTGACACGTCTTACGATACACCTTGCCACACGTACGCTCATATATTCGAAAACAGATCTGGACTTCTCTTGTTTTTCGTTCTTAATAATTATATTATTGGTGATTTCCTCCAGGACAATAAAGTATTATTTATCAACATATTGCGTACCATATCGCCCGTTAACCCTTACTTCAGCCTGCTTGTCTTTCTGAATGTGCTTCCATAGCCTTTGTCCACCCAAGAACAATCTGCAAGGTAGCAATAATAATAATTGTTTCAATTCAGAGTTTTCTGTTCCCAGCTAATGAGCCTCATCAGCCCGGGGACTCTTGGGTTAGCAATCATATACTCTCATACCCAACCACGCCTTCCGTCCACTAGCTTTGGACTAATTTTTAGACATTTGAGATACAAATTAGTACACACGTTCTGACACGTGTTTGGGATACACTTTTAAGATACACTTTTAAGATACACTTTTAGTTACATTTTTTGACCCTTTGAACTCACCTGTATGCCATTTCTGTGCTGTGTCTGACTCTGTGGGCACACGTGTGGACCTTTATGAGATTTTTGGACCATGGGACCAATTTTTGGACCATTGTAGAACCCATGCATGATGAGTACATGTTATCAGAAACTTTCTGGATTATCAGTCGCCTTGATGCAGAGTCATAAAATTTAATCTATGAATATTAACCTTTACAAGCAAACGAATTCTTCAATTGTAATATCAACACTAAATATCGTAATAATGTCCTTGAACAAAATACAGCAACAGAATGTCGATTGTGCAATTCAGCCCAAACCACAACTGTGTATTCAAAATAGCCCGCTGGGTCAACATGGCGCACGAATTACATTAACCCTCCCCTGGCCAGGAAAGATTGTTTGCTGGCTGTATGTAGACCATGTTATAATCCATTTACTTTTCAAACCGCTGTGTTTGGGTTGCTCCGGTAACTAGCCTAGCCTATTCACGGCTGCTCATCCGGAAATGGCCGCGTACAAGCGTGGAGGGGGAGGAAGGGGGGGGGAGCTGCTCTGTAACGCTGCGAATACCGACTACTACACAGGTATCGATTAGAGGTAATATTTAGAAGGTTGTTGGTTGTTGGAACAAGGGAAACAATTTATTTACGTTAACCACAATATTATTATTATAGTATAGGGGGAGGGGTTCTTTCAGACATTTTTTTCTCAGGGGAGGGGGAGTAACAATATTCTAAATCCATTTTTTAAAAAAAAATGGCTTTTTAAGTTGTGTTCACCTCAATATTTTTATATAACACAAAATAGTGTGTAAAGGCATATATATATATATATATATATATATATATATATATATATATATATATATATATATATGCCTATATATAGATTATATATAATATAGGCCATAGATAGATAGATAGTCGCCCATGACAGTCCTGCCTCGGCTAGCTGCTTTTCCGCCTATATATATATATATATATATATATATATATATATATATATACACATGTATTTCAAAAACACCCCAGGGTAAAATCATCTCTACGCCACTAACTAAAAGTGCGCTTCAATTATACGAAAAAATAATTTGACCCTCAGCTTGTAATGTAGGCTTTCCATAAAATGTTTTACTTGTCGGCCTACTCACGAAAACATTCCTTATATTAATAGTTTTTTCCTTTACCATTTATACTACATGACATTTTTTTTCTCCCAATTCTTAACTTTCAACTATATATTTATATGAATCTGCCTGTAAACTACTTGTACTTACGTTAAAATTAATATTGGTATCAAGCACGCCGTAATCGAAATGCCACACGAGGATATTACTACGCGTGTGACCTGTACGCTAGCATGTTCTAGAAGGCGGTATCGATATCTGTTATGGTTCCCCGACTACACGATAAATGCTATTTACGACTACACGCGCCGCGCGTCAGCCTTGGAAACCAGCCGACGCTAGCCTCACATTCGTTCACAAGGCCTCCACGATCGGTCAGAGCAAATTTTTTCCACATTTTTTCAAGTAGGTGTAACAATTTTATTTTTGTTCCTTTCTTTAACAGTTTTAGGTAGATCTATTTTATTTTTATGTACATTTATTTAATGCATGCACAGTGTTTGTTTGTGTTTGATTTTTTGCACTTTAGAATCTCCGTGTTCCGAAGAGGCGTTGTGTTGTTTTTTTTAACTTTATCAGTGGGTGTGTCCTCGACTTGTTAAAAAATACTGGCAGACCGGACAGCTTATTGCCTGTTTGCAAAATTTAAAGTAAAAAATCCATCTAGAGTTAAATAAAGATTGAAACTAATAAATAAATTAATATAATAATGTAATCTTTAATTATTCAATTCCATGTGGCATTCATAGTTTTACTAAAAATTTCGTTTGATCTTTTCTTACAACGGTATGAGTCATATGGCATGTATTATATTATAAACCAGTCTCAAAATAAATGTTTTGTCGTGCGGCTAGTGATTAGTCACTAAATTTGCATAATGAATGTAATATATATATATATATAGGCCCTATATATATATATATATATATATATATATATATATATATATATATATATATATATATATATATATATATGTTTGTGTGTGTGTACTTTAATTAGCACAGTATCTCTTATACAATTATAACTATGTCTAGTCCTACCACTATTAGATATCTAATCTACGCTGTTGACGAATTGAGTCTAGAGTCTAGAATCTATGTGTTTTTAATTAAGTTTTCATAATAAAACTTGTATTATAGTATTTTTCCATAATTTGACAGTTTATCAAAATTAAGGAACTGTACTGTGCCAATTAACAATTACACGACAGTAATCTTGTGTAATTAGACCAGAGCCCCAAAATTTAAAATGTATCATTTGATGTAGCACCATAACTCAGCCACCCTTCCAGCGAACTACTTTAGCTCTATAAATAGAACCCATCGCCCGTTGCATTGGGTCGATAGGCTCCGCGTCCAACCAGTTTTTCTATTTCGTGCGCCGAGCTGGACTAAAACGTTACGTGTGAAGATCCCTTTCGACGTCACACTGATGCTAAATATAGCTTTAACCTGTTTACTTTGAAGGGCAGCCTTATAAAGTACAAGTTTTTTTTAGTTGTATAGAGGCTGATGAAAGCCCTTTTCTGGTTGGTTGAAGAAGGGGGGAATAGGCATATAGAAAAAGGGGGTGGATAGAGGATGTCGAAATATGCTGACTTGGAGTGTATGATTTAGTTTAGAAGGTATGTCGAGAGAAATGAGTGGGCGACACGGAAACGAGATACTTTGAAGAAGGATCAATTTCAGCAGGTTTCACATAGCTTGGAAAGCCAAGGCAAATAGTGAACTCTAAACCTTTCTCATTACCCCACACAGTTATAGTTTTATAGTTGTATATCACGTTTATGTTAAGTGCTGACCTGAGTGGGGAATATTCGAGATTTGAAGATTCAGAGTTTCTTTCAGGCATCTAAAGCACGTCCGCCGCATCCTGAACGATGTTGAAAAAAATAATAAATAGCCTAATTTAACCAGTGTCTCTCCCCCCCCCCCGGAAATTTAATTCCGCCCCTCGGAATTTTCAAGTGCGCCCCCCCCCCCCCCCCCGACGGAAAAAAAAATGTCCTAAAGAAACACCAAAGTTTATTCTTAGAACTTATTTACACATCGCAATCTGCCTGCTGCTTGGCCAGATTTAGTTTTTACTTCAGATGTCGCAAGCCCTGAAAAATAAAATTCACTTCGTGAAAAATTAACGCTTAATAGAATCTTACAACCCGCCCCTACCCTCCCTTTTACAATCGATCTTTCTGGTTTGTATATAGTTCATTGCACACCCCCAATGAGTATTTATAAACACCGTTACTAAATATAGATCCAGACCCCCAAAGGCCTGTAATCGATCTATAACCGGCAAGTCACGTGATCGTGTATACGCCATATTCTAATTGATTTTCATAATGAAAACACGCCATTCACTGACACCAACTTTAGAAATCTTAAGTAAATATTTCTAAAGAGGCGCGTTTTTTTACTTGGTAGAATCTTTACTTGTGCGAGGCTAGTGTTTGCGTAGGTAGATCTAGTACATTATACGATAGTGTGAAGAGGGCTAGTTGTGTGAAGGCGGCTTAATTGACATTATGGCTAAACCCTGCTACGTTTTTACAGGAGTGAGAATAAACTATAGATACCTGCTTGTGTTGAGTTTAAGTGTGAAATACTGGTACCTTATCACTAAAGGCAAAAGCAATTGCTATTTTAAGTATACGAGTTCATTTCCGGTATGCGTCTACTAGTGCATTAGCCAAACCTAATTATTATCCATTTGGTTTGTTTATACCACAATGGGAGGATGGGGGGGGGGGGGGGGGGGGGGGGGGGGAGAGTCCATACATAAAACACGTCATGCTATTGCAGCGCCACCTATCTTTCCCTAAAATGACATCACAAAACTACACCCATTTCATAAAACCATTTTCATCTTAAAAGAAAAAAAAAATTAAAAAGATGTATCCAATTATATCTTACCAACCCCTACCCCTCCGCTCCTCTAGATAACTCATCGTCACAACGTCAGGACACCCCCCCCCTCCCTCCTATAAGAAATTATACGTATTTTCTAAACATGTGATTTTTTTTTTCTTCAGATCTCTTCGCATAACCCAGCACCATGAGTGACGCCAAACACAAAGACGATAAACACAAAGAGGACAAACACAAGGACGAGAAACACAAGGATGACAAGAAAAAGGATGACAAGCACAAAGATGAGAAACACAAGGATGACAAGAAAAAGGATGACAAACACAAAGACGACAAACATAAGGACGAGCATAAGGACAAGAAGGACAAGGACAAGAAGAAAGATTCTGACGATGAAAAGAAGAAAGATAAAAAACACTAGAGTCTATTTTTAGCTCCGAGATTTTTTTCTGAAATGTCAATATAGGCCTAGGTTACTAAAAGTGCTTACAAATATGCCAGTTTGATTGTCATATGCCAGGTTTTGAAAAAAATAATCTGGCCACTTTTGTGTGTTTTGGTCTGTGTATGTCTTCTCATGCGAACATCTCATTTAATTTCATTCTCCATGTTGAAGTCACGTTTATATATACATGTATATACATACGTGTATAAACCTCTATACACAATGTATGTATGCATATATATTTATATAAATACTACACATACTTTTATAGTTGTTTGTTGGTCTAGAGCAGTTTATACATTATGCGTATGTGTCCACTCTCAGACAACTTTACCGATCTCATATGCTAAAAAAACAGACTTTATATGGTAATTTACCAAAATAAATATAGTGTATAAATTGATTAATTAAATAAAATCAATAATATTATCAGCTACAACAAGCACTACCAACCCTAAAAACATTAAGGGAAGCAACTCTTGTTTTTAATAAAATTTTGGACATTTTTTTTTCCACATATCACTTTCAAAGAGTTTGAGTAAAAAAAAAACGTCAACTGTGATACCAAAATCAATTTTAACATTTGTTGAACTTATGTTAATATTTGAGATCTGATATTTTATATCTTATCTATTCCAATTTTTTATTCTATTTTTTTTTACAAAAACTCTTTTTACACTATAAATTTTTGTACTGCTGTTTCTAAACTGACACATATATCTATATTAAATATTGTTTGGAAGTTTGAGTTTTGTTATTTATTATACACCTTAACAGTTGTTATCGGGTAAAAGTTTCCCCTTTCAAACCTGACGGTTTATGGGGCAAGTGAAGTAGAGTTCACTTGTTTCTGTGACCTCGGCATATGAAGAGATAGTGTGGTCAACACGATGCCCAGCCACCTTTACTTTCCCTAACGTGTGTTAGGTACCCATCAGAGTTGGGTGGACTCAGGGACGGTCTACTCACTTGAACCCGGATTCGAACTCGAGACTTACGGGCTAGAAGTCCAGCTCTCTACCGCTAGACCACTATCGGGTAATACAGGGTTATTGCAAGATAGGGTAGCAAGGGACGTAATCTATGAACTTACCGGTTTCTACAAATTGTTCATCATCGTCGTTTCCCCTGACATAAGACTAAACAATTTTTCGCTTATTAAACGAAAACATCTTTATAATACGGAAATGGATTATAAAAATTATTTTTATACATTTCCTGTGGTGCCTAAAACTTTGTAGCTTACTCTATACCTATACGAAGGAGATTTCAAGTCTTTGAAGGTAGTTTTTAATCATGGCTTTCGTTGGATCTCCTGCAGCGAAAGAAATGCGGAAGGGGGGACTATTTCTTTTCTATTACTGTTTGTAAACGAAACATGAAAGAGTTGTCCTAGGTAGCGAACAGGTTCTATATAACTCTCCCCTTTTCACAAGAGTTAATCGTGTCACGCCGTGGTCACGCGTGACTACTTGTGAACAAACTTGTCACGTTAATATCTCACGTGATATTTTATGAACAGATTTGCTCGAAAAAATTTGATCCACTATTGCAGTACGGGCATGGCAAATAATGCATATAAGGGTTAGTCCACACAATGACAGTAACAGTTGAACATAGCTACAGGTGCATACCGCAACGGATACACACAAGTAACACAGTTGCAGCAGTAACACATAATATTTACATGTGTCCATAGATAATTTGTTCCGTCACCATATATATATATATATATATATATATATATATATATATATATAATATATATATATATATATATATATATATATATATATATATATATATATATATATATATTTATATTCACAGATGTATGTATATTCTCGCTTTATGACTTTCTCAATCTCCTATACATATAATGATCTTAAGTTGACCGCGGGGAGGGGAAGGGGAGTAGAGTCCTACTGCTGTTTTTTTGGGCGGGGGTAATGTCCTGGGGGGGGGGGGGGTAACTGACAGGGGGTAATTGCTCAGGGGGTAATGTCCTGTTCCCATATATATATATATATATATATATATATATATATATATATATATATATATATATATATATATGAAATAATTAAACGCTGTAATTAATAAAGAGCTGGACGCCCCAATCTACAGCTTGTTAATTACCATTGGAAATTGCTAATGATATACGCTAATTATTGCATTAGAGCAAATGATATTTCCATCCCGTATCTAGGCATCACGCCCATGTCGTTCACCTCTTGGTTCTTCGAGTGCAACCGCTCGACCACTGTTTCCAGTAGCAACGCTGTGCTGTTGTCATGGTTACCGCATCTGGAAAGCCCACAGTTCATTACACTATATCGGAATTTAAGTGTTCTTAATTAAATATACTACAAATAATTTTTAAGTCGATCAAGGTTATGTGTACCTGCAAAATAATTGAATATGTATTCATGCACATATATTGAATATGCATAAAAGCATATACTTTTGATGTATTAGATTTACATTATGTTGTGGTGGTCTTATTGAGGATTCTGATATAGCATTGCCTTTGGTTTTGTTTATTCTTATTTTGACGAAGTGTTTGCTATTTAGAATGGTTAGATGCACATGTCGACACAACCAACTCAAGCACGTGGGGCCTTACAACTGTTTATATTCAGATTTAAATTGATGTTTTCTCTACAATGAGATCATCTACGCATTTTATTATACAACTTTGGTAGCACCATAATTGTATTGGCAAAAGTAAGGTGTGGTGGGGAGGAGGGGCGTGGATGGTTCCTGGAAATGTTGTAACAATCTGAGAGTGGGGGGGGGGGGGATGCAAAAGATGAAGGTGAAAAAGAAATGGGAAGAGAGTATCACGGAATGGATGGGTTTGACACTGAGAGAGACACTGAGGATAACGGTAGAGAGTGGAATTGAGTAATTCCATTAGAAGAACACAAGTGACGTCTTAATGGTCCACCTAGACTAAGGGACAGAAGAAGAAAAAGATGTAGAGGTCTAGAATTATATCATGTAAGGGGTGGTTAAATGTCACACTTTGTGTAATACTGCACACGTATGTCCCCGGGCGCCGACACTAAGGGGGCGCCAAAATGGGTTGGAAAAAAATTAAAAGCTCATTTTAGCTGTAGTTTTGCATTATAAATATAAAAAATATATGGGGTGGGGGTGGGGGGGGGGGGGTGGCAAATTAAAAGTGTCCCAAGGGGGGGGGGGGTGAGGAGGGCGCCATATTGATAGTTTGTTTCCTGGTGGGAGGGGGGGCGCCAAATTGAAAGTTTGTCCCCGGGCGCCGGGAAGGGTCGCTACGCCTCTGAGAACGACCATGAGTCCAACCAACTCTGATGGTACCTAACTCATGATAAGGAAAGTAAAGGCGGCTGTGCAAAGTACTGATCACACCTTCCCTTCATATGCCGGGGTCAAGAAATATATTAATTCTACTTCATCTTCCGTATGGATCGCTAGGTCTAAAAGGGATTCTTTACTTACTTACAATTGGTGTATAGTGATAAGCATACAACTGCGTACATATTATATAGCTTATTTAAATGTTATATGATTGTATTTATTGATAAATCTCTCTGTGTTTCCTTTTCCCTTTGTGTTTGATAAATTACATATGATAATAGACATGCTCTACTTCTATACTAAATGCTGTGGGGTAAAAAAAAACGAGCACACATGCACCTATTGGTTTGCTAATAAACTGCTCATTCTCAGTCCCATACGACACAGTTTAGCTTAACCCTATGCCGCGAAAACAAGTCTAGCAGTGCAATGTGGCAAGTGGTCGGTGACGCTCTTCTGTTTTCGTGTTGACGTTCTGTGGAATGGAAGGGACGTAAATACGTAAGTTGTCAGATTTTAAAGGCATTTTCCTGTTGTAGAAATAGAGATGTTTTTAAGAGCTAGTATTTAAATTAAAAAAAAAAACCCGATTAATTTACTGACGTTGTTTGACTATATCCCTAAAAGATAGTCATCAAGCTATATATATATATATATATATATATATATATATATATATATATATATATATATATATATATATATGTGTGTGTGTGTGTGTGTGTGTGTGTGTGTGTGTGTGTATGTATGTATATATATGTATATATATGTATATAGTCATCAAGTTACATATATATATATATATATATATATATATATATATATATATATATATATATATATATATATATATATACTAGTAAGCCTCAGATTTGTACACGGAATGTTGATGGGGTAAGCCCCACATTTGAACATGGAGTATTGCTGCAGTCTGGTACAAAGAGATTCAATCTATAATCTATGTATAAATTCCAATTTTAAAATTTCTTTTAATACACCAACAGCTGTATGCCTTGTGTTATTACTATTTCGTGTTGTGTTACCGAAAACGGCATTACTCGCTGATCCGTGTTTTGTTCGCTTACCCCGTGATCACGTGGTCCTGGCTAGTCGACCAATCGATGCTAGGGGATTAGTGCGCGCTTATGAATCATAAAAATGCACATTAATTTTATAATTAAAAGCACGGAATATTCGCGATGAATTAAACAGTTGGTAAAGATTTGACGAAAACGTGTACGTGGACAGTTCTAATCACGTGAGTTGTAGATTTTTTGACGATACAATTTTAGCGGTATCTTAAAATTGAAGAGTAGTTTATTTCTAAAATAAATAATTGTGTGTTAGCAGTGTTTCTTTCAGGCATCTCTCTTATGTGTGTGTGAGGGGAGGGGGAAAGGAGGCGCAGACATCTCTTTAGGCTAAACCATTATCCTCCGTGTCTCCAAAAAATTTACCCCCCCCCCCCTCATCGACAAATATTTTAACAGCTACCCACACAATAATTGCGCTCACACATAAACTGTACTCACGTTAATGCTGTACACCAGGGGTCTCCAAACTACGGCCCGCGGGCCGGATGCGGCCCGCGAAGTCCTCTCATCCGGCCCGCGGAGATGTTTTTGTCCAAGGAAAAACCGTTTGTTGGTGATGATGAGGAACTTTGCACAGAAAAATTAAAGACATGCCTGCAAGAAAAACTGGCCCCGAACTGAAATTTGATAGTTAATGCGGCCCTCGGACTGAAAAGTTTGGAGACCTCTGCTGTACACCAACAATAAATACCACACACAATAACTGCAATGACACATGAACTGTACCCATACAATACATACCCACACAATAATTGCACTCACACATAACTGCATCACACAATAAATACCCACACAATAATTGCACTCACACATTAACTGTACACACACAATATCTTTACCCTCACAAAAACCGAACCCGCACTATATCCCAAACAAAATTCCCCACTAAATCTCCTTATCCATCCGATAACTTCATTAATCCCCAAAACATGCGTATAACCCAATTAAACCCGTAGTTTGAGTCATACCGTTGACAGACATTGGCCTGTGAGTGAGTTATTCAGCGATACGACGTCACCAGCTGTGACCCACGATGGTGAGTAGGACGGCAACAGGACTGGGTGAGTAGAGCGACAACAGGACTGGGTCGTTACTCAACTGTGATGTGTGTGTGTGTGTGTAGCATAGGAGTACTCACGTTACGGTAGACTTCGTGCGAACAGCCGTTGTGGTGTGGATGTGGCACACAACATTCGGTGTGGTTGTGGTGACGTTTTAATATGTTACGTTATATGCGGTTTTAAGGGTGATGTGGTGTTGTAATGAAGTCATAATGACATTGTAGTGACGCTTTAATCTATTGTGTTATACGTTGTTTTGTTATTTTTTTGCATTCTTTAGTGGCGATAACATGAAGTCTTAGTGACACTGTAGTGGCGTTTCAATCTACAAAATTCTGGGTGACGACTTGGAGGTGTTGTGGTTTTTCTGGCAAAAGTGATTCATTGATCTATTTCTTAAAATGTGCACTTCGAGTTCTTATATTTCTCTGTACCAGAGAATATTGTTTGCAAATAAACACGTAAGATGGCGCCTCTGTTTCCAGCCTTAAGTTATCGTTGATATGGATTAGAGTTTCACCTCTGCGCTAAAAAAACCTGTCTCGGTTTTCGTTGGTTGTCTCGGATTTTGAAAAAGGACTACTTATCCTATACAGTGTTTCCTTCAGACTTTTTCTCCGAGGGGGGTGGAGGGGGGGGGGGCATCGATGCATAGGTCTCGAAAACATTGTCTTGTCATAAAAGTTTTTAGCCTGGCCCCTATTAAAGCCGGACCCGCCGCTGATTGGCTATATATTTTTATAACTGTTAAAATGTTTTTATTGCATTGTTTACTGCGTTTCTAACAATCCGATGCTGTTTGTTTTTTCCAGACAATTTGAACCTTGACCTCTACACATTTAGCGACCACTACAACTAATCTTAACCAAGCGGCATAATCATAAGTATTTAGTGAGAGCTCAACAAGGCCTGGGGTTTGAAGCACAATTCAACTCAGAAAAGAAACACTCACAAAAACGATAAAAAAATGAGTTCTCTGTTTTCTTTCTTTAAAAAGAAGAAAAATCCGGATGGAACAAAGATTGAGAAAAAGAAACATTCGGACGGATCAAGGGCGGAGAAAAAGAAAGAAAAGTCTAAAAAGAGAGGAAAGAAGGGGAAGCAGGCGGTCGCAGAGCCGGAGGAAGTGCCGGACCCAGTCACAGAAACACGGCGGTTGTTCTACACTATTGGTAAGTCAAGCTTTGTTTACAGGTAACTTTCAGGTAAGACAAGGCAGGAAAGGTAAGTAAAGTACGAAACTAAAGTGCCACGTGACCTCGGCATAGTGTATAGCACTATGCCCAGCAGCCTTTACTTTCTCCAACATGAGTTAGGTACCCATCAGAGCTGAGTCGATTCAGGAACGTTCTTCGGACTCGAACTGAAGACTTTTTGGTTAGCAGTGTGCAGTCGTTTGCTCTACCGTTCGACCACGCCGTCCCAGCTTACCGATATGCTGTTTAGATAGCAGACAAGGTACACTAAAGTCAAGTTTAGTTTGCAGGTAAAGTACAGGTCAATCACCTTTGACTTGCAGGTAAAAAAAAAAAACAGATGTGTAATGTTCATCAGTTTCCGTGACTTCAGTATATTAGGGGATAGCGTGGTTAGTTATATACCCAGCCGTCTTTACTTTCCTAACATGAACCAGGTACGCATTAGGGCTGGGTGGGCTCAGTGACTTTCTACAGACACGACCCTGAGATCCGAACACGCGACTTTCGAGTTTGCAGTCGTGCGCACTAATGCCCAGTCACGCCGCCCTATATATATATATATATATATATATATATATATATATATATATATATATATATATATATATATATATATATATATATATATATAATGGATAGCTAAATATGTTTGATAGAACTTTATTCATTGTGGGAAACTGATACTTTTCTTATTCTTGTGAAATTAGAAGCGATACATTTAAAAAAAAAAAAAGCAATTCAGTATCAAATTCTGCAAATAAGAAAACACAATTTACGCGGCAACGATGTCGATGTTGTATTGCATAGGCGTTGTTATGGTTTTTTATTTACTAATCAATATCAGCAAATTAAGTGTTGTTGTGACATCGGGCCTCCCTGTTGTTGTTGTGTATGTGTTGGTGTGCGTATGTGTGTGTGTGTGTGTGGCGGTGGGGGGGGGGGGGGGGGTACGTGAGGTTGTATGAGTGCGTGTGTAGGGGTGCGTGTGTGTTCGCGTGGATGTTCGCTTGAGGGTTTTGTGCACGTGTGTTGACTGAGGGCATGTGTGTTATGTGTGTATTGTGTGTGTGTGGGAGGGGGTAGCGTGTGTGCGTGTACGTGAGGTTGTGTGAGTGCGTTTGTAGGGATGCGTGTGTGTTAGTGTGAGTGTGCGCTTGAGTGTTTTCTGAACGTGTCTGAGTGAGTGTTTGTGTGTTGTGTCTGTGTGTGTGGGGGGGGGGGGGGGGGGTGCGTGAGTTTGTATAAGTGTATTTGTATGCGTTTGCGCGTGAGTGTTTTTTTCGCGTGTGTGTGTATGTGCGCATGTGTGTTTATGTATGTGAATATGTTTAGCATATCTGCCCGCTCAGCGTCGATCAGTAATCTTCCCCAAACAACAACACGCATGCCCAGACGTGTACCATTGGCTGCTACCTCATCACGTGCCACCGCACCTGATGATTCAGCCAATTAACCAGACGTGGAAGCACACATCCAATAATCAGCCTTTTCATCAAAGCGCCGGAAAATTTAACACGTGCACAAATTAGATGATTTTTATAACCTCACGTCCATAGTCACTCTGGAGTTTTATTGCTCAGGGGAAATCACTCCATCAGTAAGAGACGGAATACTAAGTAGTGTAATAGAGAATCATGTATTTACATTCCTATGATCAGACAAAATGTGGCGCGATTGCCACAGTCCTGCACCATTCAATGTTATTACAATTCTATAAATTAGCTCCCTTACTTGTAATAAACTAGACAACCCGGTTTCCCCGAAGATATGACCCATTATTTTTCAACCCACAAAGTTTCACTCCCCATCCCCTATATTTCCAATGACCCATAATGTTTGATTCCCCAGAATTCCAGTGTATGTGATATGCCCCATTATGTTTGATTCCCCACAATTTCAGTGTATGTGATATGTCCCATTATGTTCGATTCCCCACAATTCCAGTGTATGTCATATGTCCCATTATATTTTATTCCCCAGAATTCCAGTGTATGGGATATAACCCATTATATTTGATTCCCCAGAATTCCAGTGTATGTTATATGTCCCATTATATTTGATTCCCCAGAATTCCAATGTATGGGAGACATGACCAAGGACCAGCGGATGTCGTTGGAGGAGTTCTACAGACTGATGATGTTGCTGGGCTTCCCGGACGGCAGGGAGGGCGCTGAGGTAGGGAGGGCGCTGAGGTAGGGGTTAGGGTTTGGCTCAGGGAGGGCACTGAGGTAGGGAGGGCGCTGAGGTAAGGGTTAGGGTTTGGCTCAGGGAGGGCACTGAGGTAGGGAGGGCGCTGAGGTAAGGGTTAGGGTTTGGCTCAGGGAGGGCGCTGAGGTAGGGAGGGCGCTGAGGTAGGGAGGGCGCTGAGGTAGGGAGGGCACTGAGGTAGGGAGGGCGCTGAGGTAGGGAGGGCGCTGAGGTAGGGAGGGCGCTGAGGTAGGGGTTAGGGTTTGGCTCAGGGAGGGCGCTGAGGTAGGGGTTAGGGTTTGGCTCAGGGAGGGCGCTGAGGTAAGGAGGGCGCTGAGGTAGGGAGGGCACTGAGGTAGGGAGGGCACTGAGGTAGGGAGGGCGCTGAGGTAGGGAGGGCGCTGAGGTAGGGAGGGCGCTGAGGTAGGGGTTAGGGTTTGGCTCAGGGAGGGCGCTGAGGTAGGGGTTAGGGTTTGGCTCAGGGAGGGCGCTGAGGTAGGGAGGGCGCTGAGGTAGGGGTTAGGGTTTGGCTCAGGGAGGGCGCTGAGGTAGGGAGGGCGCTGAGGTAGGGAGGGCACTGAGGTAGGGAGGGCACTGAGGTAGGGAGGGCGCTGAGGTAGGGAGGGCACTGAGGTAGGGAGGGCGCTGAGGTAGGGGTTAGGGTTTGGCTCAGGGAGGGCGCTGAGGTAGGGAGGGCACTGAGGTAGGGAGGGCACTGAGGTAGGGAGGGCGCTGAGGTAGGGGTTAGGGTTTGGCTCAGGGAGGGCGCTGAGGTAGGGAGGGCACTGAGGTAGGGAGGGCACTGAGGTAGGGAGGGCGCTGAGGTAGGGGTTAGGGTTTGGCTCAGGGAGGGCGCTGAGGTAGGGAGGGCGCTGAGGTAGGGAGGGCACTGAGGTAGGGAGGGCGCTGAGGTAGGGGTTAGGGTTTGGCTCAGGGAGGGCGCTGAGGTAGGGAGGGCGCTGAGGTAGGGGTTAGGGTTTGGCTCAGGGAGGGCGCTGAGGTAGGGAGGGCGCTGAGGTAGGGGTTAGGGTTTGGCTCAGGGAGGGCGCTGAGGTAGGGAGGGCACTGAGGTAGGGAGGGCGCTGAGGTAAGGGTTAGGGTTTGGCTCAGGGAGGGCGCTGAGGTAGGGGTTAGGGTTTGGCTCAGGGAGGGCGCTGAGGTAGGGAGGGCACTGAGGTAGGGAGGGCGCTGAGGTAAGGGTTAGGGTTTGGCTCAGGGAGGGCGCTGAGGTAGGGAGGGCGCTGAGGTAGGGAGGGCGCTGAGGTAGGGGTTAGGGTTTGGCTCAGGGAGGGCGCTGAGGTAGGGAGGGCGCTGAGGTAGGGAGGGCACTGAGGTAAGGGTTAGGGTTTGGCTCAGGGAGGGCGCTGAGGTAGGGAGGGCGCTGAGGTAGGGAGGACGCTGAGGTAGGGAGGGCGCTGAGGTAGGGAGGGCGCTGAGGTAAGGGTTAGGGTTTGGCTCAGGGAGGGCGCTGAGGTAGGGAGGGCGCTGAGGTAGGGAGGGCGCTGAGGTAGGGAGGGCGCTGAGGTAGGGAGGGCGCTGAGGTAGGGAGGGCGCTGAGGTAGGGAGGGCGCTGAGGTAGGGAGGGCGCTGAGGTAGGGGTTAGGGTTTGGCTCAGGGAGGGCGCTGAGGTAGGGAGGGCACTGAAGTAGGGAGGGCACTGAGGTAGGGAGGGCGCTGAGGTAGGGGTTAGGGTTTGGCTCAGGGAGGGCGCTGAGGTAGGGAGGGCGCTGAGGTAGGGAGGGCACTGAGGTAGGGAGGGCGCTGAGGTAGGGGTTAGGGTTTGGCTCAGGGAGGGCGCTGAGGTAGGGAGGGCGCTGAGGTAGGGGTTAGGGTTTGGCTCAGGGAGGGCGCTGAGGTAGGGAGGGCGCTGAGGTAGGGGTTAGGGTTTGGCTCAGGGAGGGCGCTGAGGTAGGGAGGGCGCTGAGGTAGGGGTTAGGGTTTGGCTCAGGGAGGGCGCTGAGGTAGGGAGGGCACTGAGGTAGGGAGGGCGCTGAGGTAAGGGTTAGGGTTTGGCTCAGGGAGGGCGCTGAGGTAGGGGTTAGGGTTTGGCTCAGGGAGGGCGCTGAGGTAGGGAGGGCACTGAGGTAGGGAGGGCGCTAAGGTAAGGGTTAGGGTTTGGCTCAGGGAGGGCGCTGAGGTAGGGAGGGCGCTGAGGTAGGGAGGGCGCTGAGGTAGGGGTTAGGGTTTGGCTCAGGGAGGGCGCTGAGGTAGGGAGGGCGCTGAGGTAGGGAGGACGCTGAGGTAGGGAGGGCGCTGAGGTAGGGAGGGCGCTGAGGTAAGGGTTAGGGTTTGGCTCAGGGAGGGCGCTGAGGTAGGGAGGGCGCTGAGGTAGGGAGGGCGCTGAGGTAGGGAGGGCGCTGAGGTAGGGAGGGCGCTGAGGTAGGGAGGGCGCTGAGGTAGGGAGGGCGCTGAGGTAGGGAGGGCGCTGAGGTAGGGGTTAGGGTTTGGCTCAGGGAGGGCGCTGAGGTAGGAAGGGCGCTGAGGTAGGGGTTGGGGTTTGGCTCAGGGAGGGCGCTGAGGTAGGAAGGGCGCTGAGGTAGGGGTTGGGGTTTGGCTCAGGGAGGGCGCTGAGGTAGGGGTTGGGGTTTGGCTCAGGGAGGGTGCTGAGGTAGGAAGGGCGCTGAGGTAGGGGCCCTGAAGTTAAATAAAAGCTAGTAATAAATGGAATTTTTTGAATAACCTACAGCAACAAGTACTTTATTAACTCCCTTACAATAATCAATATTGAAATAAAATTTTCCAAGGGAGTTAATACTAAAATAAATTACTTTTTAGAAAACACTATTTAAATTTGTACTGGCCACACATAATGTAAAATATTAGTTGCTTAAAATATACATACAAAATTAACAGAAACTATTATTTTTATTCATTTTTGCACTTTGTTGTAAGGTTTCCGGTTTCATATATTTTTGTAATTATTTAAGAAATCTAACGGCATAATTAAAAGTTAGACATTTGAAATATAAGAGCGTCATTCGCCCTTCATCATTGTTGGGTCTCATTCGACTTTTTTGTGCAATTTAAATAGTAAATGAACTTGGTTGCATCTGATGAAAACATCGCTAGTCTTTATTTATTACTAAAAAGTTTTAATACATTTATTTAAAAACAGATGTGATGACAGTTGTATTTCAAAGTTCTAATATAAACAAAATAATTCCATAATGGATAAATCCAACACATTTACCTGTAATGATGGTAATAAATCTAAAAACAAATTGAATTCTGCTGCCAAGTCTCTTCTTCACAATGTCATACGTCATACAGATAGTCATAACAGGCACATGGAAGAGGCTGAGATGTGGCAACTCCATTTGAAAATGAAGGGAAAAATCAATCTACTTTGTAAAAATCATGAGCGAAAAAAAGATACTCAAGAATTTAAAGATGTCAAGATAGAAAATTCATTTTTATTTGATGACAGACAGGATGACTTAGGGTGGAAGAAGAAGAAGTCAAAAAAAGCCCATATGGATGACTCAGAAGATAGAAATGTTGGAGAGGCTTCTAACAGTACTTACTGGATGAGACAGTTATATAAATTTGAAGAGAATGATCCTGACAGATGGGGACACAGTGGTTATAAAGAGCTGTACCCTGGAGATTGTGAAAGTGATGGTGATCAGAAGAAAACAAAGAAAAAAAAGAAAAAGCAGAAAAAGAAAAAAAAAGAAAAAGATAAGGATTTTAACAGTCCAGTTTGTAATAAGAAGAAGAAAAAGAAAGCTACAAAAACAATTAGTAGGAAAGAGGATAAAAAGCTTAAAAAGGAAAGAAAAAGAAAGAGAAGTGATTCATTATCAAGCTTTGAAGCTGATATGAGAAAGTTAGAAGAAAAGAATTCAATAACAAAAAAGAGAAAGTACTCTCAGGAAGATATAGCTGGAGATGAACATTTAGCTCATGAGCCACGTCACAGAAAAATGCTCAGAAGAAAGACATCATTTTAGTTTTTGTGTGGAAGTCAATGGAAGTATTTTATTGGGTTTTTTAGGGGTTGTGGTCATTAAATAAAACAAAACAAAGTTAAATTGTCAAAAGAAATCACTGGTTTAAATTAAAGATAGGACGAAATGTTCAGTACATTTTGTAAATTTTTCATTTCTTTCTAAACTTTTCATCAAACTTAGAAATTAATGATTGGTGATAAACAAAACCTTCATACTTCATTGGTTCTATTCTCAGTGTTTTATGACGTAACTTGTATTAATAGATAAGTTGGGACTTCTTATTATCATCAACAATTTTACAGCAGTTCCAAAGGTTTACTTTATGTTCTAAATAAAATATATGTTGTTGTAAAAAAAAAAAAAAAATAAAAAAAATAAAAAAAAAAAAAATAAATAAATAAATAAAAATTTGTAGAAGATTCATTTGGGAAATGTTTTAGATCAGGGGTCGGCAACCTGCGGCTCTTTTGATGTCCGGATGCGGCTCTCCAGTTCCATAATAAAAGATTGTTTTATTTTAAAAACAATAAAAAATATGATACTGTATAAACAAAAACAACTGTAAACAAAATAAAAACAACAATGAGAATAGGTGGAGTAGGACGTATTACGGTATAATGACAGCTGACAGCCCCGTGGCAATAGTTCCATACTCTCCGCTACCGAAGTGCACATAAAAAAAATGTTAGTAGCTCTTTGAAAATTGGGAAATTTTGTAGATTGTAACTTTTGGCTCTTCCGTTTCAAAAGGTTGCCGACCCCTGTTTTAAATCATTGGACATGTTAGGGAAAAGTAAAATCGTGTTCTAGAAAGCACACTTAACGTAAACTATTACCCTGCGTCTCTAGACTGGTCTTAAATTAAACACTACTGGGCACAAAAGAAAACAGGTAGATTTAACTTGTAGCAAGGTATGCATCAAATAGAAGGCGTGTTGTAACGATGTGATAGACCACTGTCAAGCTAACTGTCCCTAAAACGCACTCAACCGTAAAATAGGCTACGTGTCTCACCGAAACTTTGCATACCTCGACACAGCTAAGGTCAAGGTGAAATACTTTGACGACAGGCGACATATTTTTGTTCAACTCGCGTTGTCGGTCACGTCTCGAGCTAATGTTATTCTGTTAGAGTTACACGCCCCTGGTTCTATTTCTGGTCGATGCTACCGAACCGTGACGCGGTGTGTAGCTGTGTGTGTAAGCGCTAGTCGAGTTGTAGCTGATGTGTAATAGTGCATTGTTGTTGTTGGTGGTTGGTTGTTGTTTTTTTTACCCTCGATGTTTTTTTTTTAAAATACTCCATCATTAACGTAAAATTGAAACAAAACATACGTAGGCCTGCGTAATGAAAACAAAACTGGTAGTAACAGGTGTTTTCTTCAACAGTTACCTTCACCTTGGTTAGTAAATATTTGACTGCATCCGTATCAAGATTTGCATGGATATTGAAGTGTGACCTGTATACCGATCAGACCTTATAAAGCTACAGGGACAGGAAATAGCCACATCTGTTTAATGGATCCCCAAATATTAGAAAATTATTGTTTAATATTTTGAATGTACTTTTCGGTTAAAGATTACCAGACGACAATAAATCGTCACAATGGGCGTGGACTGTCGAGGGGTGACAAAGATTCATAAACGAGGGTCTGTCGTCTGCGATATATGGGTGGCACAGATTCTAGCACCTTCTGTGAGGGTGAGGGAGGGGGCAGAGGCTAACCATTTCAAAATTTACGGATAAAATAATGCTTTGTGCAGTCCAGTTACTAAATGTATGGTCAGATACTGACTGACACCCCCCCCCCGACTGCTGCAAGGTACAGAAAAGACCTGAGTTAACTCAGTACACATGTGACTCGGGTTTGAGTTTGAACGCTTATATTATGTCATTCAGACAGTTAACTCTACACCAACCTTAATCTTTACCTAATGTATTGGTATTAGCCTATTGATAGCAAAATTGGGTAAGCTGGTGGAGAGGATGGAGGGGGGGGGGGTAGAGGGTTAAGTGTGAGATGTAAATATATATATATATATATATATATATATTGTTACGAACCCAAGCGATCTTTACCTGGGTTTGGTCCCATCGAGGAGGGCCAGGTAATTAAAATGAAATGCTTAGGCATGTTAATGCACTGACCAGTGCTGGTCGTGAGAATCTTTGGGCCGTGATGGCCACATCGGATTAGATTCCACGCGTGTAGGCGTGGCAGACTGGGAGACTTGGGGGACTCGGCTATTAACGTGGCCAACAGCCCATAAATTACCTGGTGACACCACGGGCTGACCGTTGATGCTTGATCTAGGCTAGTGACGGTCCGTGTTTTACGGCTGGGAAAACCTTCCAGGTCGGAGGGGGCCGAGTGGACCGTCATGGACGGATATGACCTAGGGTCAGGCCTTAATTAAAATCGTTCCCACGGTGTAGAACGGGGGACGAGTACTTTAGGAGGGTAGACCGGGGGCACACGGGGACACACTCTCGAGACAGACACTCGGGACACGCACTCGGAGACGGACGTACTCGTCTCGGATAGCTAGGTTTAGAGAAGACAGACATGGGGTCGTCTTTGTGAGCTGGTGGAAAGCCACGACATGTTTTAGACTTAGGCTAGGCTAGACGGTTAGGGACAAGTAGGGTAGTCGTACTAAGTACTTTAGTTGTTGTAGATAGTTGTGTATTTTTCCTATTGTGTTCCATGTGGTGGCGGGTTAATGTTAGATGTTGTATTTTGTGGCGAATAAATAGAGATTACTGAAGTTGGCTTTTATTTATTTTTATTTTTCTTCTTCTTGTTTCCGATTACGTAACAATTGGTGGCTAGAGTCCGGGATAGGACAGACAACGAGTTGAATAGTTTCTTTTGATGCCATTTTCAGTTGGGGGCTCACGAGCTTGTGTTTTAGTTTTAAGTTTTATGAGTAGTGAGAGTAAAGTTGTTCACGGAATCAGGAGAGTTTTCCAAACATTGAGTAAGTAGCGAGCTTATCACCTTTGTATTGACACTGAGTTTATTTTTATGTTGGTCCAGTAGAGCTGGAATTTTTATTTTTATTCAGTATAGCTGGAGGGATTAATGCCCAGTATACTTGAATGTTTTTTGTGTGGTCCAGTGGAACTGGAGTGTTCGGGTTTATTCAGTACAGCTGGAGGGTCAATTCCCAGGTACGTGAATAAATTCGTAATTTTTGTTTGGTTTGCTCAGTATAGCTGGAGGGTCAATTCCCAGTATACGTGAGTGAATCGTTTGTGATCCAGTGTAGCTGGATATCTTAGTTTGGTTGGCCCAGTATAGCTGGTGTCTACCTGTTTCAAGTGTCAAAGGTGATAGCCCTACTTTTAATGTTTTAAAGTTGTTTGTTGTGAGCCACATTTTTGATAGTTAACCGCCACCATTTAGCTTGATAAGTTCCGTAAGTGTGAATCATGGACGTAATGAGTTTTATTGAGTGTCCAACTCTAGAAGTTTTAGACAGGTTTTGTCGCTTAGAGTTGTTGTGTCTAGTTGAGCAACTAGGACTAGAGGTTGATGTGTCGGATAGAGATAGAGTTCTACGAGATCATATTTGTGTTGAGTTGGTAAATACAGGTAGATTAGAGGAGGAGTGTCTAGACTCTATAGAATATTATGAGATAGGACGTATTAGAGTAGAAGAAATTGAGAGAAAGTTTCAAGCTAAGTTGTTAGAGATCGCGAGAGAAAAAGAGGATAAGTTGTTAGAGATCAGGAGGGATATATTCATGTCAGAATTTTGGAAGGAAATTAACATTAAAAGTTTAGAGAAACTGTTCGGACATGAAGTGAAACTATTAGAGATTAGGAGGGAACGGGATTTACTTAGGCTATGGGAAGAGGCGCAGCTTAGTGGGTTGTTTGACTTTCCAGAATCTGTCTCTGTTTTCTCTCAGGCTAGTGTAGTAGTTTCCGAGGATCGGTATAGAGATAAGGATAGTTTGTTGTCTGATAGAGTTGGTAGTGAGTTTTGTCAGTCTCAGACTAAGGCTGCCACTAGCTTTGGCTCAGTCCCTGAAGTCGACTCTAGCCTAGCAGAATCAGCACAAACGTCAAAACGTGCTGATAGCTTACGAGTCGAGAGTTGTGTGCCGACAAGTACTGAAGGCAGTCAGCAAGTTATTGGTTTAGATAAAACCACGGCGACCACTCTGATGTTGACCAGTCATGAAAAGGGGCAGTCAATATCTGACCCAGTGGATACAACCACCGATGATATAACGGCAACCACTCTGATGTTGACCAGTCATGAAAAGGGGCAGTCAATATCAGAACCAGTGGTTACAACCACCGCTGAAATCACGGTAACCACCGAGAGAGTGAATACCCATGAGAACAGGCTGTCCTCGTCTGAACCTGAACCAGTAACTGCATCTGATCAAGACCTTACTACTTGTCATCTTGATGGCGTCATGACCTTATCCGGAGGTCATGTGAATGGTGACCTACACCTTCAGTTAGACGAGTCAACAACTCTTCTGCTCGCATCGGTAACGGACGGAATCGTTACCCATTGTCTTGGAGGTGAGCCTAACACGGGCTGTCCTCCCATTATCACGGCAGTGTTTGATTTCTCCCCGACCAAGTCCAGCAACCCAGAGGCCATGACCTCACCTGGAGGTCACGTGGATGGTGTTTTACATCCAGAGATCGAGGAGACGGTGAATCTTTTGTCCGCGTCGGCGACGAGCCAAGTCATTACCTCTTGTTTTGGAGTTGAGCCTAACTCAGGCTTCCCTCCCCTTATCTCGGAGCTGATTTATTGTTCTTTGACCGACCCGGGGAAGATCGGTAATGTGACCTCAGCGGGTCACACTTCTCCCGTCAACCGAGAATGTGTACATGTGAGCGCATATCACCTCACTTTCACAGAGACGGGGCGTGAAATCGACCTCTCTTTGTGCGGCTCGGTGTATTTGTTGTGGGCGGATAATATCTCCGTCACTAAAATTGTGCTGCGACGTTATAAAGTTCGGCTAAAGATTTATATTTACGAACTCATGATGACCCGCAAGACGGAAACATAAGGACAATGTGTACCTTTGTGTTTCAAACCTATTAGAACTGTTCCCAAGATAGACTGTTTCATGTTTTCCCAGGATGCAAGTGTTCTAATCAAAATGAACTGTTTTAGGCTTAAAGAATGTACCTTTTACATGTCTTGTTTGAAAAAAAAAAATGTTATTGATGTTTTACATGCTGTTGAATTCGTGACAGTTTTTAATTGTATTGACAAGTTTTGTTGACTGATGACGTAACTATCAGTAAAACGAAGACTGTTGGTTTTCAATCTTAGCATTATTTGCGACAGTGACACATGTGTTGCAGATTTGCTGTTTTATTTACTTTGATGTCTATGTTTGATGACATTGTGTTTGGGGTATTTAGTCAAACTTGCTATTGTGACTAAATCATTCACGTTTCTTATCTTTTTAGTAATGATTATGTTAAATGGATTTAGTCCCATTTAGGTTTATTCCGGGACTTTTGAGGAATTGTGAGATTGGGATGGTTGTCTAGTAAGAAATGTTCAATTAATTCACCAAGTGGCGAATTAATTTCTTGAAGGGTGGGGGTGTTACGAACCCAAGCGATCTTTACCTGGGTTTGGTCCCATCGAGGAGGGCCAGGTAATTAAAATGAAATGCTTAGGCATGTTAATGCACTGACCAGTGCTGGTCGTGAGAATCTTTGGGCCGTGATGGCCACATCGGATTAGATTCCACGCGTGTAGGCGTGGCAGACTGGGAGACTTGGGGGACTCGGCTATTAACGTGGCCAACAGCCCATAAATTACCTGGTGACACCACGGGCTGACCGTTGATGCTTGATCTAGGCTAGTGACGGTCCGTGTTTTACGGCTGGGAAAACCTTCCAGGTCGGAGGGGGCCGAGTGGACCGTCATGGACGGATATGACCTAGGGTCAGGCCTTAATTAAAATCGTTCCCACGGTGTAGAACGGGGGACGAGTACTTTAGGAGGGTAGACCGGGGGCACACGGGGACACACTCTCGAGACAGACACTCGGGACACGCACTCGGAGACGGACGTACTCGTCTCGGATAGCTAGGTTTAGAGAAGACAGACATGGGGTCGTCTTTGTGAGCTGGTGGAAAGCCACGACATGTTTTAGACTTAGGCTAGGCTAGACGGTTAGGGACAAGTAGGGTAGTCGTACTAAGTACTTTAGTTGTTGTAGATAGTTGTGTATTCTTCCTATTGTGTTCCATGTGGTGGCGGGTTAATGTTAGATGTTGTATTTTGTGGCGAATAAATAGAGATTACTGAAGTTGGCTTTTATTTATTTTTATTTTTTTCTTCTTCTTGTTTACGATCCCCTGACTAGTTCGAAAGGATTAGAGAAGGGGGTACGTAACAATATATATATATATATATATATATATATATATATATATATATATATATATATATATATATATATATATATATATATATATATATATATATATATATTATATATATTTATATATTTATATATTTATATATCACGCAATCATACAAATAAACTTAAGTTGCTACCATTTTTTAAAAAGTTTTTAAAAATCCATTACAATTTGTGAAAACGATCATTCTACACATGCATACACAAACACAATTATATTTTAAAAATAGTTTTAGGTATAATGTGTATGAAAGAAAGATGTCATTTTAAAAAGTTGACATTTCATGACATTGCAGAAAGTATGGCTGGCACACGGAAAGACGGCAGGTGGGAAGATGACACAAAGCGAGTACATTGAGCTGATGTTTGATGAAAGCATCGAGAGAAAGTAAGTTGATGTTAGATGATAAAAGTTGATGTTAGATGACAAAAGTTGATGTTAGATGATAGCATCGATAGAAAGTAAGTTGATGTTAGATGGCAAAAGTTGATTTTAAGTGAAAACTTCGATAGGAAGTAAGTTGATGTTATATGGCAAAAGTTGATGTTAGATGACAAAAGTTGATTTTAGGTGAAATCGATAGAAAGTAAGTTGATGTTAGATGGCAAAAGTTATTATTAGATGACAAAAGTTGATTTTAGGTGAAAACTTCGAAAGGAAGTAAGTTGATGTTAGATGACAAAAGTTGATGATATATTACTAAAGTTGATATTGATGTTATATGACGTTATCTGACGAAAGTTGATGTTAGATTACAAAAGTAGATATATGATTATACTATCGATAGAAAGTAATTTTGTATTAGATGTCCGGTAAGGATAGAAGGTAAGTTGATATTTGATGAAACTTGATGAAAAAAAATCGTAATGACATCACATTGACGTATGACGGTAGCCAAGAGCACAACCCTAATGTCCAGTGAAGCGTACAATCAGTTTGGCCAATGTGTTCCCTTTAAACATAAGCTGTTTTGAAAAGCATTAGGAACTTAACCGCACAAAGCCTAACAACGGGTTAGGTCACAACTGAGACTGACCAATGTCAACTGACTTCCCCTTTTGTCACCACCCCTCTCCCATATGCTCACTCGGTCTACGAATCAGTTATCCAGGTAATGTGAACCGCCTCAGGTAATCACATCTCTTTAGACAGGTAATTACTGGCGTAGTCTGTGCTGGGAAATAGCTCCTAGAAAACGTATCACAATACTGAAAAAAAATGTAAATATTAATTTTTCTGGTTTTAGGGGGAAAATATTACATAGAGGGAATATTTGATTTTTTGAAAACCGAAGCGTTATTTATTCGGATCCTGACTATTCAAATATCACAGTTAACTTTTATATAAGGGAGATAACAAATTTTTTATTATTGAAAACGTGCTTTTTTGACATTATCTCCCTTAAACACAATCTATCTATTTATCTATATATATAATTCTCTTCTGGGAGACGCTAGAAAACAAGCTATAAACGCGCTCCCTACCATCCCCACCCCTACATGGTCTAAGTGAACTGTGGTTCACGCTATGTTGAGCTTCGTGGAGTCGGGTTTAGTGACGGCTATTAGGGGCAGATAATTTAGTTTGAAACGATTTTAAACGTTGGGGGGGGGGGGGGGGGGGAGGAAGGGGGGGGGGGGGGTTATGGTCCTTAACGAGCTACTTATAGTGTTTTAAAGAAATATTTTCAGTGTCAGCGTTGGTACTGTCGAATTCACAAAATATGAATTACTGAAAAGTAGAAAAAACAACATCTAAATAGCGGCGTATGTTATGCCGCGGGCCGGCTCGTCTTTTAAAAAAGAGTTGTGTTTTAAATTAAAATTTTTTCTTTTTTTCTTTGCGGCAGAACCAACTGTTGGCGGACGCTCTTTGGACAATTCGACACAGACGGGAACGCCTCGGCAACGAAGACGGAAGTGCTGAAAGGTCTTGAGGACATCGGGCTGGAGGTCACGTCCAGTCTACGCCAGAAAGTGGACGAGATGGACACCAACAAGGACGGGAAAATCAGCTACGAGGAGTTTCTCAGAGCGCAGCTGAAGCAGTAATGGACGTGGGTGATTTACCTTACCAGCGTCGGATAATGGACTCTTCCAGATTTTATATTAGTGTTAGTATGGTCGCTCTCTCGAGAGTGTAGCATACGTGTAGTATGGACGCTCTGTGTGTTTAATATAGAGGGTGGGAGGGGGGGGGGGGTCGAATGATATCTTTGAACCATCATGCCGACATCCATATGTGTTAATTCGCTGTTAGTATTATAATTTAGTATAATAAAATCATAGTACACATTATGAGCTTTAAATGTAAGCAATAGCTAGGTGTAGGTTTTTCGCGAATAGTATCCTGCTGTCAATACTAGCTTATACAGGCATACAGTTTAGCTAGATTTACTTTTCCTACGCCAAGAACAGTAGCGTTTTTTTTTTTTTTTAAGTCTAAAAGCAAAATTATGTGATGACAATGACGATTTTAAAATGAAGAAAAAGATCAAGAGCAATGAAGCGCTGTAGACCTACTTAGTACTTAGGGCTAGCAACATCCAAAACCCGCTTTGTTTTAATGGGTAGAGCTAGAGTATCAGAGAGTAATGTTAGTTGACATTTAATAACCCTAACTAGCAGCGTAGCAACATAATTAGAAAAATATGGATCTTGTCCAGATAAGCCCCGCCACTAATGCCAAAAGTACACGGGCGAAAAGTTAAGCCCCGCCACTTTTTGCTAGCTCTAAATTAACACACGCAACCTTGACCTATTTCCAGAGTTTCTTCCAGGCATCTCTTCGGAAATTTATATAGAAAATATATACTTTTAACAGTGTCCGCCCCCCTCCCCCGAAAAAAGTCTACCGCCCCCCCCCCCCTCAAAATTTCAAGTGCCCCCCCCCCCCCCCCCCCCGGAGAAAAAAGTCTGGAAGAAACACTGCCTATTTCTGATGTCTAGACATTTGAGTATTTAAACGCACGCCATATAAACAACTTTTTATCCGCCTCTGGCGTTAGGGTTAGGAGTAAAAACTAAAAGTACGTTTCATATCCTCTTTCATAGAATCTCTTTCAGGAAGCTGGGGTTATCTATCTGGCGGGGCTTATCTGGACAAGATCCAAAAATCCAATTACCGTGCCGTTATCGGCCACTGGTATGAAGAGTACGACACGGAAGCTTTAAAACTAGGCTGGAGTGAATGGATTGATTTAGGGGTCGTCCATATAAGACGTCACACTCAAGGGGTTCATTCAGGTATTTCATGTTGATGTTTTGTGATGATCGGGATGGGGGAGGGGGGGGGGGTGAAAATTCGTCTTTTAAAAAGCGTGTCGTCATTTATGAGCGACCCCCATATTGTCACGAATGTGTTTAAAACGAGTGTATGTATATAAACTCACATTAAGAATACTCCTTTATTGAGTTGACGCTCCTGATTATGTAAACTAGTTGAACAATGCCTTGGTTATTTTTTTTATAAACTGTATACTGCAATATAATTTTTTTTTTAAATTATAATCCACAGATTGTCTCTCAATATAGCATTTCTATAGTCTAGTTTATGTTCAGCACGAAATACAGTAGGCACCAGGCTTAGGCCAAATGATACTTTTAAAATTGAAAAATAAATATTTTAAACATAAATTAGCCAATTAAGGATCGTTGTAATGTAGGATTACTACTTATGTCCAAAAATGGTTTTTGGTCCAGATTGTATTTCAATTTAGGATGCTAAGTGTTTATTAATTAGGGCTAATATTAATAATGAGTTGACTTTGTAAAGATTTATTAGTATATCCTTTCTTATCCTTCCTTCACGGTAACCGTTTTTCTGCACTCTGATCTAGATAGGGCTCTGTAAAAATTTTATGTTCAGTATTAGCATTTCAACCCAAACACCTGCTTCCATCCCCTTACCAATATAACCTGATAACCCCCTATTAGAAGACCCCATTATAGGCCTACTTAAATTATAACAGCTTTGTCAGACACCTTTATGTAAATATACCCATGTCCTAATACAAACAAAATAATCATTGATATTTTTTTTTTCGGAGGGGAGGGGGGGGGGGGGGGGGCTTAATATGGTACATTATTGTTTGTTTTTTTGTCCCAAATACTACTTGGTCTGTTTTTCTTTTTGGATTTGCTATCTGAGTGTTTGTCCATCCAAGAAAAAACTACATAGCAGCAGTTGTTTGATGTTGGAGTTTTATCACCTAGATGGGTTGCTGTCCTTAGCTGTCGAGCCTCATCTGCCCGGGGGTTCGAACAATGACCTTTACGGACCAGACCACTAAATATTGAGTTTTGTGATTATCCTTCATTTGGTGATCAAGTCTAGTTTTATTGGTCGTAGGATTAACCTATTCAAGTTGTGTAAAAGACAAATTATAAAACCTTTGCATTTAATAAATAATGTTGATATAGGCCGACCTATTTTGTCGCCCCCCTCCCCCCAACAAGTTCTACAGCTTACTGATATAAGCAGGCATGTTAAGCTAGTTAGAGAATTAGGGGAGGATGGAACTCAACGATGCCATTTTAATGTTGCTCAGTTATGGTCTTTCAATGGTAAAATAGGAGGGGGGGGGGGGGGAATGAGGGAAATAGACGGAAATCTTGGAGTGTCATTTCTGGATGATCCATTGTTGCCTTAAGCTTGGCTTATTTTGTTGCCACAGTTATTTTAAATTGTCTTAAATCAATACTGCACTAATTCTGTTTGACTAATCATAAAGCCTATTTAATTGGTCCAGAGATTATTAACACTAATGCTAGACCAACTGTTCCCTAAAGTATTCAAAACACAGCAATTTTCCTATTTTTATGTGATTTTTTTTTAAGCTTCAAAATATGCTTATAAACTCATTTCCTATAACTTACCTTGTTGTTTTTAAAAATTATTAACATTGAAATAATTAGCTAAAAACGTGTATTTCAACAGCCATGCATAGTTCTGACCACACGATTCCTTCATATGTGGAGGTCAATTAAACAGGTAAACTCTACTCCACCTGGCCAATGGACTGCAAGGTTGAAAGAGTAAGTAAAAGAAAGTTCCCTTTTCAAACCTGACGGTCTATAGGGCATGTGAAGTAGAGTTCACTTGTTTCTGTGACCTAAAATAGCAAATGTACAAGATTTAAACATTCCTTTTACAATCCCTCTACATTTTTTGATTAACAGTAGATTAAAACATTCTAACTAAAAATCCTTCTAGTCTATATGCGGTAATGTATCATATTGTATGAGAGAATTTATGCTACTTATTCAAAGTAATACTTTCTTAAAAATGCAACTTTATTTTAAAATAATTTACAACTAATAATAATGGCAATATCACTATTTTAATATTTAACTTTCTAATTATATTTGTATTTTTTTCATTACAAATAAACATCTGTAAAAAAGTTTGATTTTTAAAAGTATTGTGTTGGAATGGTTAATGTGTTACAAACTGTTATTTCAGAAACTCACAAAAAATTTCAGATATGCAAGGAAGTTATTTCCATAACCAAACTATGGATCTCTTAAACTTATGTAAATACTCCTAACCATGATGAAATGGCCAAGTTGAGTGCTACAGCAAAAATTGGTGACCTCAAGTTTTGAGTTCGGGTTCCTGAGCTTAAGTCTGTACATGTCCACTCAGCTCTAATGGGTACCTGACATGATTATGGATATAGTGCTAGTCACACATTCCATTCTTGCGCCATAGTCACTATCTAAGAAACTGATACACTTTACTTCATCTGCTAAACAGGTAATAAAGTGTGTTCTATGTTAACTTAACATACTAGAATAACTAGCGACTATGATACTTATACAAATCAAAGAATAAGTTAGAAAGCTGGATATTGATGAGTTCTAAAATATATAAACATACAAATAATAAGAGTACACATTTTTTTTTCATGATCTCTTAGTTTTATTATTAGTGTACAACAACATGAGATTAGAAGCTCCTAAAGAAACAAAAAAAAAAAAATAATAATAATATGTCCATTTAAACCAACAGAAAGTGGTGGAAGGCATTGTACACAACGTGAGACAATAATACACCCAAGTGTAGTCATCCTTCCATCAACAGACCTGTTATTTTGAAACAAAATAAACTGAGGCTTCAAAAAGTGGAAGACATTTCAGGGATTGGGAGTATCACATTAAAGAAGGCAAACATCCTTCACGCAAACATATGGTTTCGCTTCACCTGAAATGACTTCAATGTCGTGCGTCTTGGTGCGGCATACAATTTCTAAATGTTTTACAAAATTAAGAAACTGATTGAGTTAAATCTTGCTGAGACTAGAGTTAAGTGAGAGCTATGGGGACATAGTTTTATGATAAATTCTGTGGAAAAAAATAACTTTTTTACAAGTAAATATTTTGTAAAATTCAAAAAGTTGTAGAAAATAGCAGTAGCGATGCATGAAAAAATTACCAGGCAGATACTGGATTGAGGAGGGGTTAGGAGGTACCACTTAATTTTTTTTAAACTACATAATTCCTCCATCAATAAATCTAAAATTACTATTGAAAAATATGAAGGTTAAAATGTATAAAAAAAAATCAGATCGGTAATATAAGTTTGAGAGGACAGGAGAAGGGAACTGCCACTCCACCAGAAAAAACTAAATCTACAGATTTGAATTCCTGTAGATCGTAATTTATTACTGGTGAAAAACCTGTTTGTTTTCCCCCACTTACAATACACTCAGAACAACTTGGGACAAACGTGCATCTAAATTATCTAGGCTACTATTATTTTTTTTAAAAATGAATCTGAGACAGACTAGCTAAGTGATGTATATCTTACTGATTGTGCATTTAGTGAAGTTAAAAGATTATAAAGGTAAGATCTATATATTTTGACTATGGTTTGTGGTCAACACAAAAATAAATGAGCAAATATTGCTTGTGCATGAAACTGAGGACAATGACTGATCACCAGTTGGGGTGGCAGGTAATTAGGTGAAATCTTGATTAAATGTTAGCGGATGTAAGGTTTGAAGTCACCAGGTGCTAAAGTTAATGAGACAATCAAGCAGTGGGGGCTTCAAGTCAGCCCAAGGTAAATACACAGGCTAACAATAGTCCCAGGTACTCTGATTAGCTTCAGGTAAATTTTTCCCCAGGTAAGTTTTCTGACCTAACAGGGACCCAGGTTTTTCAAATCAAAACAGGAAAAGGTTATAGTCACCAATTCAATTGTCTACCCTTTCAATGAAAAGTGGGGGAAGGGGATTTCAAGGATAGACAATAGGGCACCCCCACATCCTTGTATACTTTTACACACAAAAATAGTGGCTATTAAGTCAAAGATCACTGCTAAATCAGGCACACAGTCATGTCTTAAATTTACCCAGCAACCTCAAAAAGAAAAAGAAAAATGTTACACCTATTAAAAACTTTACATGTTTTATCAATCAGCAATTTTGTTCTTTAAAAAATCTGAAGAAATCAATTTTAAAAAAAAATGAGACTAGAAATAAATGCAATTTCAACTGTAGCTACACCAGTCTGTGAGGGTAATAATTCGGCCAGTCCAAAAAAAAAAAAAAAATGATCACATAAGCTTTGTACAGTGAGCTAAAAATGGGTAGAATGAGATTATGCAAAAAGTTCTGAATAGTCATTGCTATTGTACAATGTATTGGAAATGAACAAAATGGTTATCTACACAATTAGTTCATTAGCTGTATCACTCTTGTAGCAGGAAATATCAAATTTTTTTAAATTTTATATTTTTTTTAAACAAATGTAAAATGTTTGGAATGTTCCTTTAAACAAATTTGTGTCCATTATGGGAACTTGTATATAAATATAAACAGATACAAAAAACTAAAAAGTCTTTGAATATCTATCTAAATCAGGGGTTCTCAAACAGAGGTACAAAGACCATTTAAAAAAGGTCAAATGCTGCACTGTTGTTTTATACATAAAGAAACAATTATGGTTTCGTCCATTGCATCCCAATGTTGCTGATCCAAAAATTTAAGGGTGGTCAGTTTTCTCCAAAAAGAAAAAAGTGCATCCTACTAAAAACGTATGAACAAAGTTTTGGTGGTAAATGGTCTAAGAACCCCAGATCAGGATAGAAACATGACAATTTGTTTTTTTAATTATTCATGTGGAAACAATGATTCTCACAGTTTATTAATAAATAAAATCAATACCAAATGCTCAGTCTAAATTATTAAAAAAATATTACAACTGTATAATTTAACAGCTATTTTTTAAAGCATAAAATGCAGATTAATGCAAACAAAATTTTTCATACATAAAGCCATGTAGCTCTTGTTTACAAGTTCAGAAAAAAAAAGAATACTTTGTATAGTATATTTGTTAAAAAAAAAAGTAAAAAGTTGGACTGAATTTCCCATGAAAGAATAAATGATTTGAGCACAAAATACACCTAATAAAGTATGGTAATGCAGCAGTTCTTTTCTTATTACCAGAGAACAAGTGAAACATACATGCCATTTGTGCACAGCTGTTTGTTTCCAAACATTTTTAAGGGCTACAACAGACAGGGCAAAATGGACCACACTTTGTTAACAAGAAACTGTAAAAACTGAGCTCTGGTTCAATTTATCTCAGATTAATGTTGCACTCATGTGTATTCATTAATTTGATATGTGCAAATTTAGGAAAAAAATATATTTTACAAAAAAAAACTGGCCATATTAAAATTGTATTTTTTTGTATCTGTATGACACAACCATTTTTTTTTCTTCTTTCATTGTTCACAATCTGTAGACAGCATCAAACAGTTCAACAATGTTATATTACAGCTTCGTTAACTATCTGTAAATAGCTGCCTCATTAAACAGGACAATTAGTGCAAACTTAAACTTCACCATTTTAGATAGTAGAGATCTTTATTAACAAAGATTTTTTAATCGCTACTTAGTGCTCAATTTTTTTTTAAAGTATTCACAAAAGTATGTAAATATTTTCTTAAATTAAGAATGTAAAGAGTGGATCTAGTGCATGAGTATACAATGAGTTTATATATTATAAATATTTCCATGAACATTAAAACTAATGACTCATTTATAATTGACTTACTTGATGAATAATCAATTTGAAATAGTGCAAAATAACAAAAATAAGGATGCAATGAAAGAAATCAATCCATGATAAAAATGTATGTAAATAAATGCAAGATGAGCAAATGAACAAGTAAGCTATGTATTATGTCTTAAACTTTGAGAAAAGCTCAGTTGTGTCTTGAACAAAAATATTCTGAGACAGCAGTAAAGATATAAAGATTTTTTTATCATATAAATCTACAATAATTTGGTCATAATTTTTTTTTTACACAAAGTAATTTTTTATTTGAATTATCTCACTAAAGTGATATCTCACTAAAGTTCATAATGTAAATCCATTTTTTGTAAAACCATTTTTTATTAAGTTTCTGGCAATGTGGATAATGAAGAAGTTTTTTTTGGCAATTTTTATCTATTCTTTGACAGTTAAATAATTATTTTAAAAAAAATAGCCAACTGATATTACAAGAAAATAATTGTTTTCCTCTGATTATGTAAGTTTGGTCTTATTGTAAAGCACAAATAATTGCTGATATTTAAGCTTAAATTGGATGATAACCAAACCAGGTTATTTTAACAAAATTACACCCTCTTAACAATTAAGAGAAATAATTATACACATGAATTTTTTTTCATCAATATTAAAGCAACCTTACTGAAAGTAACTATAGTTGAATACATTCTTATGAAAACCATACTAAAATGAGTAATGTTAGAATTTTAAATATCAAGATTCTCATCATATGAAACAAAAATGAGCTAGCAGTTATTTTAAGTTGCTTATTATACTAAACTTGTATAGCAGTTACATGACATGCAAAGTAAACATTTAATGTGGCATTCTTTTTGCCTTTTATGTGTTGTTTTAACATGTTTTATGGTCAATAGTTCAACACAATGTTCAAAGAAAAAGTTGTTTATATAAAAGGACGTTATGATCACTACACCCTAAAAATTCAGATAGACTACTATTTAATTTTATATTATTTAAAGAAATTAGCATTTAACTTTAAACTTGTTTTTTTTTATTGTAAAAGAAATGATTACAAATGTATATTATCGATTTATATTTGAAAAGCAGCTTTTCTGTGGATATTTCTTGCTTTGGATTACGATTTTTCTTATTCTTAGAATAAATTAACATGTAAAGGCTGGTTGGTATTTTAAGAACATTAATGTAAATAAATCTTCAGAAAATTGTGCACACCTTTTAACCGCCGTAGTCTGATAATTAAGCCTCCTGGTCAACAAAAAGAGTATAGGGGGTTGTCCATACAGTGAAGCGGTTCTGCATGTTCTGAAGTAGATCAACTGCTCGGCTAGCCTCCATGGCGCTGAAGAGCATGGTGAGGAAAGCAAGGCAGCATCCAGTGATGGCTATGTTGAAGCCATAACCCAAGATGGCCATATCCTCTGTCACTGAAGAGTCTGCGATGCCGAAGTAAGATCTATGGTTCATTCCGAACATGGCCACAGAGTATATCCCAGCTGCCACTGAAAGTTAATTTAATAGTTATTTAATAGTTATTTAATAATTTTAATGCCTGGGAATTTCACACAGGAGTTTAATTTTATAAAGATGTAACTGTAGAATAATAACTGGATATTAGAGCCTAACGGGTAAAAAAGAATCTACAATTCAAATTTAATTCTAACTCAATTATATAGTAATGCATCGAGATCTAAGGTTTTTACATATAAATTTGTGGAACTCTATCCATTAAATACCTACATTCTTAACCAAAACCTGTAACTACTTACATGAGACAAAGTTAAATAAGGTAAGAACCCTAAAGCTCCCTTTAGTTTCCAGGAATCTGATAGCATAGAGAATGTAAACAACAGTGGAAACCAGCATCCCCAAACAGTGGAGGAGGTACATGGCTTGTATGGAGCGGAACCATGCTGAAAACGTTGGAATAAATCATACATGAAGTTTCAATAAAAAATATTTTAAAACAGAAGACAAACTGAAAAAAAAAAGGATTATAGCTAAAATTATATATATAGGCCTAATATATCTAAGTTGTATATCTCATTATCTCTATATTATTATTATAGCCTACCACGTGAAATGGCTAGGGGGTAATTTATGTGTGCAATAAATTTATGGTAGGCCTAAATACTAAATAGGAAGGTGAAATGGTGCAGGAGCAATGTAATTGTAGTTAGTTAGACTCCTTTTGTTTTTGTTTTCTCTCATATATTTTAACTCTTTAAATACTAAGTAAATAGATCTAGATCTAGTGATTCCTGATTTTTTTTATGTAAGCCTAAAGTTTCATCTTCCTCTTCATAACATTAAATTTTGAGTCGTTTATGACAGTTTAGGTGAGAGGGAGGTGGGGGAAGGTGGGTCTTGACTCTAGACTAGAAATTTTAAAAAATATGAGAAATGTTTCTTACTAAAAAAAAGTTACATTTAGTTTACTACAAAAAATGGGTCAATACTACTGAATAGTGAATACTCTACTGTCAAATTGAACTTCATTCATATACTAATAATCAAATATAATATAGACTACATTGTAGATAAGATTCTACAATTTCTAGCGTTAACTGATACTTCTTACAACTAACATAAGCGTATAGAATAGTGATCTAGAATTGATTCTAGATCTAGATCTTGGAAACTAGGCACTAAAATAGCCAAGCAGTAACTCGTAAGTGAAAAAATTCACTGACCTGCGAAATGACCGTCAACAAGGGCATTTAGATGTTCCATTTCTCCGCAGTAAGAACTGTCAGCATCGCAATGTCTCATAAGACCAACATCGTCCATAAAATCAGGGCTTCGAATCCTAAGCCACTGAGAACTAGCTAAAGCTACAATTATACAGGCTAAACTTAAAATGGACGAGCAAAGTCCCAATATGAAACAAACGTTAGCCATCTTTCTTTGCCTTGATAGATCCTAGGTTAGAATGAGCGATTGCGAGATTGTGCTATGCTAGAGCCGAGGATAGCCGGAAATTGCCGAAGTCAACACCAGGGGCTGGATAACTTAGTCATAGGACATAGGGCATTATTTATAACGAAGTAAACCTTTTTCTATTGAAGTCAATCTATTTATAAAGCACCTAGATCTATTATTTAGCTCGTTTGCATGTGGATACCTTTCAACTATGCATTGCAGTGCTTACAGTACAGATTGTTAGCAGTTAAGAAATTAGAGACAATTTTTTACTCGTTAAGGCTTCTCAAATTAAAGAATATAAAACTACAAATTGTTGTTTCTCCGGGACAGAGTTTCTTCCAGGCATCTCCGAACGAAATAAAATGTATATAATTTATATAGAAAATATATACTTTTAACAGTGTCCGCCCCCCCCCCCCCCGAAGAAAGTCTACCGCCCCCCCCCCCCCCCCCCGAAAAATTTCAAGTGCTCCCCCGGAGAAAAAAGTCTGGAAGAAACACTGCTCCGGGATCGTTGAAGCAGTACAATAATAAATAAGATATAAATAAATGACATCCCACTCTTAGGGAGAGGGAGGGGGGGGGCGTCGTAATTTTGTGACGATGAGGGGGGGGGGGGGGAGTCTGGTTCAGATAGTGTGACGCCACACTTTTGAATTAAAAAAATAAAGGATTGTAAGAAACTAAAACTTAATAATCGTTATTTCGCGTTTTAGAAACTTTAATATTTTTTTTTTTGGAAATATAGTGACATAATTTTTACCTCTACCAGCAGATCAGTGTTTCTTTGGAAAGGGTGGGGGGGGGGGGGGGACACACCTAAATCTCTAACCCCACCCCCCCCCCCCCCCCCCCCGAAGACATGCCTAAAAGAAACTTTAAAGTAGGATTAAATTATTTCAAGGGAATAAACACACTGAAGGTCCTACATCTTGTTAGTCTTTGGACTTCATCAATCCATAATTAAATCAGCATTGAGCAGTGTAGGTCTATGTAAAAAAAAACAAAAAAAAAAACACAATCTAGAAAAAACGTCTCGTAATGTCAACTGCTAGATCTATAAGGAAATTAGGAATTTACGAAGTCTTACAGCAATTCAGTGATGCGTTGCTCGACTTTTGTTGCCTATAAACAATGTCACGGGAACCAATCCTAAAATTGCGGAAATGATACAACCACTGACGGTCGTCTGCTAGCTACGTGCGTCAACAGAAGAAATCGGGAGGGAAGGGGTTAAAAAGGTGACGACGACAAGAAAGGTTATTTTAAATTTATTGTTCTTTTCAAAGTGAAGGTTATTACACAAATCAAGCTTACTGTATTAGAATACTGAATATAAACCGAATTTTAGCGTCGTTTTTTGTAGTAGCCAACAGTAAAACATTTTCAAGGTGTCTTGTTTTTTTTTTTTTTTTTTAAATATGTGAATAAATTGATAAGAATCTACGTAGGTCTACATATTTATTATTTCAGTGGCATTTTCCTAGACCTAGGTCACAAGACTCCACCCTCGTCATTTCCGTCCACTTTAGCTTGACACGGCGACCTATTTTATGTAAACAATGTGTAGACCTTTGTGTCCTTTATGGTATGGGGGGGGGGGGGGGTTTATAACGGGAACCAGATCTATCTAGGCAGCGGCGGATTAATAGGTGGGGGCAACGTGTGTTTATGTTAGTGTTTCTTTCAGACTTTTTTTCTCCGGGGGCGGGCACTGGTAAAAGTATGCGTATATATTTTCTATATAAAATTGCCTGGAAGAAACTGCATACAACACCCAGTCAAACAGTCTGCCCTGAGGCTGATGAAACACAAAAGTGCACCTCCAAATCAAGAAAAGCTCTCTTTATAACCAAAAACTCGCAAGGCTAAAATGGACAGGGTGGGCAGCACTCCACAGAACACTGCCGAGCTTCTGAAACTTAATGTCTTAAAAAATTGTTTTCGATTTCTTAACTTCATATTTTAAAGTATAACTGAATGTAAAATACCTCTTTGCTATTGTTACTAGAAATCCTTTGGTGTTTTAATCTGTATTTATTTTGGATTCAACGTTTTAAAAAATCATCATAAAGTATGAAGTTAATGAGACATTGATGTATGAATATTCGAAACAATAGCATAAATGTATCAATCTGCTTGTTTAGATATGTCTATAATGTCCCATTAAAGAATTAGTTGACCTGAAATATATTTGATTTGTTTGTAAAACTCCGGCACAGTATAACATGATCAGAATGCTGATAAAGGGGCAATAACCAAATATAAATTTGATTTGATATTTAAGTATAGTTACTTCCCTTGATTCCTATAATTACAATCTACGGATTAGAATAGTCTATGTATGATGTGTAATGTTTATTCAAATCCAATATGAAATTAACCATAAAAATGAAAAACTATTTTGATACTTATTTAAACTTTATTGTAAGTAAAAATATTACAAAAAATGTTTTAATTATGTCTGGAATGTAATTAATTGTATAAAAGGAATGTTCAATTTATAACAAGAAACTACGGATCAATACAACATGGTTAAATTCATGCAGATAACATAAGTCTTCCTTGTTTGCATACCAGTTTTAGTTTGTCAGTTTCAAAATTGCGCTCTATTGCTTATAAACATTAAACCAAATGTGAACTACTTAAGTAATGATTTTTAGCCAACTTTTTTAGACTACATTTTTATAGTATATACAAATCAGTAGAAAAATTAAAATTTTAAGAAATCTAGGGTGATATACTTGCTTATTAGGCAAATAGTTCATAAATGATGCTTTAATTATTTCATATGTACAAGATATGAGTGTATATATGAACACTAAACTATAAACATGAAAATGAATATGTACAGAAAGAATTTTGCACTCCAGTATTATTAAAAAATTGTTTCATTTTCCAAATTAAAAACTTCCCAAGTTGAAAACTTTATTTTTTAGCTTTAAAAATATTCAGCAGTAAAAGATATTTCAATGTTTTTTATTTTATTTCCTAAAAGTAAAAAAAAAATGTATATGACAGTTAATGAGTGAAGTATTTACAAGTCATTAAGGCAATCATTAATTGGTTCATATTGATTCAAGCCACCAATTAAATATAAGATATGAGCTTCAGCTTTATTATACAAAAAAATATTCCCAGATAGTTTCTAGACTCTATGAACATATTTAGAAACAAATTTTATAAGGTCAGGGTATATTAGCTGCGGAAATATTTTAGCACGTTTTTCAGGACAACATCTTATAGATAAAATTTCAGGGCAGCGTTTTATAGATCAATTTCCCGAGAGACGTAAGCGCCACTGACACTGCTGGTGCTTGATGGTGGCCCATGTTTTCTGGAGTAGTCTGGTGTTGGTGGTTGGTAGGACACGGTTGGAGCAGATCTCAGACTGGCTGGAGGGATGTACTCATCATGGCGTGAGGGGGCGGAGTACTGGCTAGCATGTAACACAGGCTGCATGCCATACGTGTTCGGCCCATGTTGAGTGGGTGGACCATAGACGTATTTTCTACCTTCCTAGTTACAAGAAAGAAAAGTAGAAATGTAATGAAATATTTTCAACGCAGTGGTTCATTTTTCTTAAAGAATATACAAGAAGGAGTGGTATCATTTATATTTTTAGGTTATACATAACTAGTAGTATGAAGACCTGTAGTAAACAACAAGGCAACAGGCCAATGAAAGAGATATTGAAGAGCCCAAATGGGGATGGATTGGGGGGGAAGAGAATGTTATCGCAAGGGTTACACTGGAATCCCCAGGGGGAATGGAAAGTAGCCCTACCAAAGCAATCCTGGAGAAGGACTGTGCAAGTAGAGGCAAGAGCCACTGGGCTTCCATGGGTGCAAATCAAGAGAGATGCCCAAAAACCATTTGCTCCCCAGGGAACCCAAAGGAATAAGGAGCAGGTAGTAGTAGTAGTGTGATGATACAACAGAGACATACATCCCAAGTTACTGATTTGTTGAGATATAAACTCTCTTAACCCATTTAAATTAAATTAAGTTATAAAGTATCAGCCTCCTAATTGTACTATTTGGAGTAATTAGAATTTAATGGACAATAATATTGCCACCTTGAAAACTCTGGCATAACGATGGTTTTTAAAACTTACTGTTGGGTCAATGTCGTGCTCAAAAGGATCTCGAATCAGACGAAGCTGCTGGTAGCGAATATGTTCCAGGTTACGGTTGGTCCTTATGGCCTCAATCCACAGGAGGATGGAAGATACTAAAAAACAAAAAAATTTAAATAACCAGTAATTAAGGTTACGGTTGGCCCTTATGGCCTCAATCCACAGGAGGATGGAAGATACTAACAAATAAAATTAAATAACCAGTAATTAAGGTTAATTTAATTTAACTGTAATATTTACGTCAATTTTTTTTATTACTGTAAATTTAGTATAATTTATTAACTAAACAATTGTAATTTTCCTGCAATAGAAAATAAATTTTAAGTTAAATATATAACAAATTTACGCATAGTGATGCAATAAAATTTTTATAAAATATTATTCATAGATACATTGTGTGGACACCGTTTTATTATAAAAGAAATCTGAATACATTGTCACATTAATAGAGCCAAATTACAGGCAATAGAGCCAAATTACAGGTAAAAATCAAGTAGATACTGACAAAAATTATGTGTTACGTACCAACACAAATAGCAGCACCAATGATAGCGATGTAGAAGGCCCAGTTAGGTTTGACAAAGGGAGTGACATGAGGCTCAATGCGGTAAAACTGATCATAGATGGGCATCATACGCCAGACTTGGTTGTTCTCGTACTTGCAGGCAGGGTCGTCATACGGATTGCAGGTGCTCATGCCAATAAGAATGCCAGAAAACAGGACCACAAAGACTTCACACAGAGCTAAAGAAAAATTGAAAACAACCACATATAATTTATCACTCTAGTATGAAAGAATATTTGGGAAAAAAAAACTGAATACAAATTCAATTATTATTTGCATTTATAAAATAGATGTAAAATACATAGCAATAAAAACAAACTATTTCTTATTTGCTTTTGCTTGCCTAAAATTGAAGACCGTGTGAACTACAAATTATATATACTAAATAAAAACTGCAAGATGACTTTAGTAATTCACGTAAATAGTTAAATATCAAGTGATTTTTGTTACTGAAATTTGAATAACACCTGCAATAATAAAATATAGTTTTTAAAAAGTGTCACTCTTCTTTACAAAACAATTAAAGAATAGTAACGCTTCGTAGAAAAAGATAATGGAGCTTCACTAAATAGCAAGAAAATCTGTGTAGAGATTACCTCCCATTGATACTGCTCCTGCCAAGACTATCAAGGCAGTGGCTGAAGCAAATCTTCTGACCATCAAGAGAATACCAGCAAACAAGCATCCCATGAGCACACACCCACCAATCACAGAACACACTTGAGCACTTTGAAGCACTTCTACAAAATTACAAAAGTTTTAAGGACACATTTACTTATATTTAATTTAATAGTTCTCACAAATAGATAATTGTTCTCAATAGAAAAGCTATTTAAAACAAATAATTTAAAAAAAAAAAAGATTTAAAGACATATAAGGATATTATTTTAATTTAAAACAAATTTATTTAAATAATAAATAATTTAAAAAAAAAGATTTTAAAAACTTATGGGTCTAATATAAGGATACTATTTAAAACAAATTTAAATAATAAATAATTAAAAAAAAATAAACAATTTAAATAATTGATAAGGATACTAAACCGTACTTGGAATGACCTCCCTGTTGGTAGAGAACTTGTTCAGGAAGAGAGTGTTATCAAACTGTGACTCCCTCAGGTAGAAGAGCCCAGAGTCAATGGTCAGCTGGCGCTTCACAGGCTCGGATCCAAAGGTGCCGTCAGTGGGGTCAAGGACCAGTTGAAACCAGAAAGGGGTGATCAGCATGCCAATGATGACCAAAAGTGAGATGCCCAATAGTAGCACACTTATGGCTAATAGTTTGGAGTCAAGGACAAACCTAAAAAAATAAATTAACGTGTTAGAAAAAAATATATAGATTTTAGACCTTCATACTAATAATATTGGACAGAGGTAGGGTGCTAGACTGCTAATCCGAAAGTCTCGAGTTCGAATCAGTGTTCCATAAGTAGAACATCCACTCAGCTCTGACGGGTACCTAACTGAAGTTAGGGAAATATAGTGCTGGCCATATTCACTCCTTGTGTGTTGAGGTCATTAAAACAGATAAACACAACTTAATCTGCCGCATGTGTCTTGGGCAAAAGCAGGAAAAGATTAAACTAATAATAATAATAAATAATACAGGTAAGTTAACATGTTGAATTATAAACAAAATAATTCTAAAAATACACTCTTTAACGAACAAAAATTGTAGCTAACAAACAAAAACAAAACAACTGTTGAAACAGTGTAAGGGAAGTAATACCTGCATGTTAAAGAAGAACATGCCTCACAAAAGGAAGGGTAGTCAATCCTTGGTGGAGGTGGCTTGTATGTGTAAGGGCTGTTGTAAACTGAGGCAGACATCTTGAAAACATGCGCTTGTATCCAGGGAAATCAGTTAATTTTTCCCTTTTTCAAATAATAGAAAACAATAAATTGACTCTAACTTAAACTTATTATGGGCTATAAGTAGTAGGCCTATAAGGTTAGACAATTTTTTTTGTATTTAAGAAAGATACACTAAACATAATTTGTTGAATGCTATTTTCAACTTCAACTCTATGATAACAGCATATTTAAATATAGGCCCAGTAAATACTAATACAATAAGCCTAGGTATACTTAATGATTTATAGAGTACAGAATAGAATAGCATAGCACTCATGTCTCCTCCTTGAAATCAATGTTTCTTCCAGACTTTTTTCTCCAGGGGGTGGGGTGGGGGGGGGGGGGGGTGGGGTGGGGAGGCACTGGTAAAAGTATGTGTTTTCTATATAAATTCCATTTAGTTCGGGGGGGGGGGGGGGGTTGCCTGTAGGAAACTCTGCTTGAAATCTTGTATATGATCAGTCTCCTTGAATATTTGAAATTTCTAACAAACTACTAATAAAGTAATAGTGAGTAACAACAGTGAGTAATAGCAAAATAAAGTATAAAGCTAAGCCCTTCAAATTTTTTTTATATTAATTGACATTAGGCTTTAGGCCTAAATATTCAAATAAATTAGGCCTGGGTGGATTTCTTATACTTATTAATACTAGTTACTAGTGTCCAATAATGACACAATATATGCCTAATAGAATCTTCTTATTAAAAAAGGGGTGTTAGCTCATTCTACTTGTAACTCTACTAGTAGTTAAATAAATAGCCTACACATGTGACTTCCATGCTAAACCTCTCCCTAACCCTGCCATATCTCTAACACTACTTTATAGCCTAGATATTTCTTACCATAAAACTGGACGAGGTTTCAATACTGTGAATTCTAGACAACAAACAAATACTCAACACACCTATTATTTTGAAGGAAGTGGCTATTAGGACCCGGGTCCCAATAGCCACGGCCGCTATTGGGACCCGGGTCCTAATAGCCTCGGCCGCTATTGGGACCCGGCATTAAGTTCGTTAAGCACTTGTACAGCCTGTATTAAAATGATACCTTTTATGTTTATTTGATTTTTCTTGTAGATTTGCTCGTATTTTGTTGTCTTTTATTGTAATTAGTTATGCGGATTATCTAGCATTATTTCTTGTGATGCTATTTCTAAATACCCTATATTTAGCTGTATATACAAAATCATCAATTACTTATGATATATCGTAAGACGTCGTGGTCGAGTGGAGAAAGCAGTACATCCCGAATCTCGATCAGTTACGGGATCGGAACCTATCAATGCTCTCTGTTTTGTGTCAAGTAAAGTGTATTTATCTAAGTTTAACATTCCCTTTGAGTTGTTTGGTTTAAGTGTCTTTTTTAATTGTTTTTATTAAAAAAATAGATTTTTTTTCTAGATTTAGGTTTTTAAACACGCTAATTATAAAAACATCGTTGCTCCATTGATCGCCCGCTCGCGTTTTCTGGTCAGCGCAAGAGAAATACCGACACGGTGTAGCCAGGGTCACTCTGAGTTCACTTTGGTTTATATGTGAACAGTGTAGGCGTATAGCATACGTCATAGCAAAACCATTGCTATGAGCTTGTCGAGATTTGTTGACATCATAGTCCCGCCCCCCCCCTTTCCCAAGCCAGCAAGAGGGAAAAACGGATTTGGGGTCATTGTGAGTTCAAATGTTACATCTTGCTTCTGTTAAAGTGTACTACAACGCATGCGAGATATTCGTGTTGAAGAAAACAAGAGCTGTAGTCTGCAACCTATATGAGCTATCTTATACAAGTATATATATATATATATATATATATATATATATATATATATATATATATATATATATATATATATATATATATATATATATATATATATATATATATATATATATATATATGGTGGACGGACAGACCTATGAAATCAAATTACGTTTAACAGAAGAAAAAAATAAATAAAACACATTTTAACATGCGCGCTCAACATTCGCTCGGCCATAGAAGTTCATACCATAGGCCATAATTATATTATAGACCTAACGACACCCGCTCATCATAACATTTGTCAGCTATGATATCGGGTATTTAAAGCAAGATCTCAATATATCATTTAGAATTACAAGGAAAAAAATCATAACAGAAAAGATATATTCTGCATCTTAAAATAATTTTTGTATAACTAAATCTTAACAATTCTATTGGCTGGTCCCAATAGCGGCCGAGGCTATTGGGACCCGGGTCCGAATAGCGGCCGTGGCTATTGGGACCCGGGTCCGAATAGATGCATCCTATTTTGAATTTTCGGAGGTCTATTATTTTGAATAGTAGGCCAATAATAATAGGCCTATATATATAATAATAATCAGAGGCGTAGCGACCCTTCCCGGCGCCCGGAGACAAACTTTCAATTTTGGCGCCCACCTCAGGAGCAAATTTTCAATTTGCCCCCCCCCCCCCCCCTCAAACTGCAAAAATGCAGCTAAAATGACATTTTAATTTGTTTAGGCCTATACAACCCATTTTGGCACCCCCTAAGGTGTCCCCCCCCCAACCGCTATGCCTCTGATAATAATATGAGGCATTATGATTATGAGGCCTATGGGTAGGCCTAAGTATTGACTATTGAGTAGTATTGAGAATGTCAAAGATTGGTAGAATGGTGTGAATTAGATAATATCTAATAGATATTTACTGATATTTTGATAAATTGATAAGCAAAGGGACAAAGAAAAAGATACTGCAACTCTAGTACTTAAGTACTAGTAGTTAGTAGTACTAGTAGTAAGTACAAGTACTAAGTAGGGAGACAGTGGAGTGGAGTCTAGAGTCAAGGAGTCACTAGGACAGGAGTCTAGTGTAATTCATTTCATTTCATTGCAATTTGAATGCTTAGCAAACTTAGCTCAATAGCTGTGAGCTTTTTGATGAGAATTACAGAATGATTTTTTTTATTAAAAATGTATCAATAATAGCTAGAACACTAGTAAACTAAGCTAATTTAGCATATTTTAACTTTCTGTGCAAAGTCATTATTACTGAAAAAAATTCCAAAGTCAGGTCAGCCTGTGGCACCCTCCACTGAACGTGACAGAAGGAAAAAAAAACTTCACCCGTGACCTTCATTAAAACAGAATTTGCTTTTTTATTTTTTTTATTTTTGGTAAACATGTGCTTAATCTTACCCAATAAGTGATAAAAATTTGAAAATTAATTTTAATTACAGTTGTAAAGTAAGATAAACAGCTTAATAAACACATGCTTTCTTGAGGGGGTGTGGCCCGGGTGTGGCACATCGCAATTATAACTTTATATTTCTGTGTTTTATGACTATATTTGTTTACAATCAGCATGCTATGTTTTTAAAATTGATAAAGGGTAAGTATACCAAGTTACAAAATCTGCAATCTAACTAATAATTCATACTTTCAATTTAAAAAATAATAAAAACGATCATCAACGAAGAAAGCGTAAACATTCTATTTTTAGGTGTGACATAAAAAACAGTCATAAATCTAGCCAAATGATTGGATTCTTACGCGGCACACATTTTCCCGCGCCTCGTTTTCACCAAACAAGAATATAATAAAATGGCATTATTACTTACAGCATGAAAAGCATTGTTGTCAGCCTAATTATATTAAACAATTCTATTTTTATTTGATAGTAAAGATGTTATAAAAATTGGGTCTAATAAAAAAGTTATTGGATAACGCACCTGCTTTAGTTTATTCGACTTGAAACGCAAGCTAAGTAAGCGTGACTTTCTCTCGACGGCCTCGTTAAATACAAATAAAGAAATTAGGTCAAAAGTACATCTGGGAATTCTTAAATAACAGACTGAAATAGAAACGGATAGTTCCGATGTCTAAAATTAACGATGGCCTCGTTATTATTAGTTTTATCCCTCTACCGTTTAGTGAAAGCGAAACTGGTCGCCATTTTTGGTAAGCGCATGAGCCATGAGATGGCTTCAAAACAACAAACCCGGAAGCTGTGAATCGAACGGCCTACTGAGTGTGTGACATGTAATAATTCAGTCAACCTCATAGTCTTAGTAAACTAGACCTCTATTTAACTTTAACTTTAATTAACAAAGTATAGTGCAGGCAAACAATCAAAACTCTTTATTAGGTTTGACAAAAAAACTTACTTTTAAAAATTAGACGGGAGATTATTATGAATTATAAACGAAAATTACACCTCCGCCATTTTAATGCGGAAGTTCTACCTGACAGGTGAAACAGGAAAACAAGGGATACAATCAGGTTAGTCTACCTACATTGGTTGTCTTTCTTAATACTAAACACCGAAAGAGTTCTTATTGCATATTAACTATTCATGGCATTTCAAACTTGGAAGAGTAGTGTTTACAAAAGGGAGAAGGCTAAATAAGTACACACGAATTTTGCATAGGATCAGAAATGTTATATCCAGTACACATTTTGCTGCTGTTTTTTATTACAATCTCAGATATTCCTTGGTCCTTTTCGTATGTCAAATAGAATATAGAATAGATCCATGCTTTTGCCAAAAATGGCTTTAATCTTTTTTTACAGTAAAATCAATTCGATCTATCTACATGAAGCTTGATGACACATTGCATCTAGATTAGTTGTTGATATTTTCAATTAGGGGTCATCCATAAATGACGTCACACTCGTAGGGGGGAGGGGGGGTCCGTAATTTTGTGACGATGTGTGATGAGGGGGAGGGGGGGGGGGGGTCAGATGTTGCGACGTCACATTTTTGAATTATAAAAAAGCAATGTTAGAAAACGAATTTTAGACGTTATTTCGCGTTTTAGATAACTGTTTTAATAAATTGTAATAGTTTAGACAAGATTTTGGAAAAATATCAATGTTTAAAAAAAATTCAACTGCAATTTTGAGGGGGGTTGTAGGTTGAGGTGTGACGTCATTTTAGGGGTGGGGGTCTGGCTTTTTGTGAAGAAGTGTGACGGAGGGGAGAGGGGGGGAGGTAAAAATCGTCAAAAAAAGCGTGACGTCATTTATGGATGACCCCTTATTAGTTTTGAGAACAGTGACTGAAAGTACTGAAAGTTTTTTTTTTTTGCATATGTCTGCAGTAAAATTGTGATTTTCGTATATGAATATAGTCTATTTCAATATTTATATAAAGCCAAATTTATATAAATTATATTAAATTTGCATTAATAGATGTCTATATTATAAAATCTCAATTAGACTAGTAGTTGCGGAGACTTTGTAGAATGAGCTTGACGGTTTTTGTTTGTTTTCGAAACTTAGCGTCACCTCTTGTGTTTACAGTCAACAAAACAGCGTGTGGGCAGTTTAGTTTCGGCATGAGCTAGAGATTTGTTAATTATTTGTTTTTAAAATAATACATTTGAAATAGAGAAAAGACAAACATGGGAAGACGCAAGTGGAAAGCCAAAAAGCTTGAAAAAAAGAACAAGTCACAAAATACCCCAGAAAATAAAAGAAAAAATGTTTTTAAAAGTCCAAAAGAAAGTCACCGACCTGCAGATCAAGATGAAAACAAAAATGTCATCAAAGTACGATCTAGGTCTAGAATTAATAGAATAGATCTACTTCCTAGCCTTTTTAATTTCTAGTGGTTTCAGCATCATTCTCCCAATCTACCATTTATTACTGAAAAAAATTCCAAAGTCAGGTCAGCCTGTGGGGTAAAACTCCATTTTAGCGTATTTTATTCTCCGCTTCTTGTTTACCTTCAGTTGAGCGTATTTTATTATAACAACCGAAACACACCAAAACATTAGGAAAACAGGATTTATTATTTGTATTGTATTTTTGTTTTAACAAATGAATAAAAATGAATAAAAAAAACAAAGAGACTGACTTTTTTTTAGATTTTGATAATTTACTTTTGGTAAAAGTTGAGAAAAATCCAAATTTAGAATATTGAATGTGCAATGTTCGTGCGTCAGAATTTTCATGGCAATGGGTGAAATACGTAAAAACGTAACTCACAATTGGCTGCAAAGGCGGTTAAGTTTGTACTGTTACAGATACAAGTATCTCCCAGGCATGATACTATAAATAAATAAACGTTAATGAACTTACAATGACCCCAAAACTGAGGCCAACATAATTTCAAACAGTTATTGCCCAGAGCTATGACGTATGCTGATAATTAAAGTCAATGTGAACTCACGATGAACCCGCGACAGTGTAAGGCGTAAGGCGTGTAAGGATTTTTCTCCCGCTGACGATCACACGATACTGTGACGATAGTTAATTGGAACTGTTCTAATGCTTTTTTATGTTTTTTTTTTACCTTTTCTAATAAAAAATCGCATTTAAAAAAAAAAAATAAGTAGATCTGTGTTTTCCTAACGTTTTTGTGTGTTTCGGTTGTGTTTACAATAAACAGGGATGTGACTTTTCCGAATTTTAGCGGAAATCCGATTTTTCCGTTTCAGTTGTGATTTTCCTCCGTTGATTTAATTTTCGCCGAATTTTTCCGCCGAGTTTCAATTTTTTCGATTTTTTACGAAGTTTTAAAAATTAGGGAAAAAAAACGGAAATGTCTTTTACGGAAAGGGCCGACATGCTCATTCCACTTATTCGTATTTAAATTTAAATCGACAACTACTGTACTTAGGTCAAACGGACACTCGAATATGCGCATTTCTTTTCGATTGGTCGATTGCGCTAGGTCTGACGGTGCTAGATCAAGATTAAATGTAGATTAAGATTCGGAATTTCGGCGGACTTTCGAATTTTTCAAAGTACACTTTTTTTAGTCCAAATTTTCCGCTGATATTTTCAGTTAACTATCAAAAACACGGGAAAAGGTAATCTAATAAAATGCAGTTATTCAAATGAAACTTACATCTCTTAAGCCTGGTAATCTAGCTATCGATATAGCCAAATTTACCTGTCGGTATTTTAACCCGCCTAAATCTAGAGTTTCTCTCTGATTCTATTTTATTTTGCAATCTCAAATTAATATTGAAATATTTGAAATCCTTGCAAAAGTTGACTATGAGGACTAGACTAACCCGCCCCACCTCGTAGCAACGGTGGCTCTTGTGACCTCACCTTGACCCCAAGTACGTGTTCGGTACTGCTTGTGGAAAAAAAAAATGACGTCACAGTCAATTTCAAATAGCTGTTCCTGCAATACGTATGCTTCGAAGGTTTACAGATTAAAAAAAAAAACTTAACTCAACGTGACTACGACCGTGTCTTGTTTGTGGAAGAAAAAATACGTTTAGACTGTGGGGGGGGGGGGGGGGGGGGGAAGAAGGGGGAGAGTCAGGCTTTAGTAGGAGAGAGGGGAGGTAAATATCGTAAAAAAAAAACCGTGGATGACCCCTAACAGTTTACAGCTATTCCAAAAAACATAAATATCGATGTGGCTTGGTTATCATAATGATTAACATTGGTTCACACGTCAGACCCTTTCTAATTTTAGCTAACCTGGTCCATTTCATTTTTCCATCACATGAACACCTAGGGTCTTTACAGTTGAAGACAAATATTTTTACCAAACCCATCTTTAAAAGAATATAAGGCATTAGGCCCCCTATTTAAAAATTGAAAATACGAATACATTTAGAATCTACACTAGATTAGTACAGTTTAAATTAGCTTAATGATAAAATAAAACTTAATTGCTACTTTTGTTACATTGTCATTTTTAAAAAGTTGTATAAGGTAAACTTTAAATTGTAATTAGACAAGACTTTCAATGTTATTTTAGAGTAACATAAACTTCTTGTATTTAAAATATTAACTTCATTAAACAATTAATTAGTACAGTAACAGTATGAAGCTGCTTAACTGTGGTATGAAGCTGCTAACCGCGATAAAAAATAGATAAAACATATTGAGTTATTATCCGAAGAAAATTTCCTAATTTTTTTTCCTGGTCTGGTCACATCCCTGAATAAAATACGCTCAACTGGAGGTGAACGTCAAGCGGGGAATAAAATACGCTAAAATGGAGTTTTACCAGCCTGTGGCACCCTCCACTGAACTTGACAGAAGGAAAAAAAACTTGACCCGTGACCCTCATTAAAACAGAATTTGCTTTTGTTTAATTTTTTATTTTTAGTAAACATGTGCTTTATCTTACCCAATAAGTGATAAAAATTTGAAAATTAATTTTAATTACTGTTGTAAAGTGAGATAAATCATAAACAGCTTAATAAACATGTGTTTTCTTGAGGGGGTGTGACCCGGGTGTGTCACATCGCAATTGGAACTTTATATTTCTGTGTTTTATGACTATATTTGTTTACAATTAGCATGCTATGCTTTTAAAATTGATAAAGGGTAAGTATACCAAGTTACAAAATCTGCAAGACTTTCAGTTTAAAAAATAATAAAAACGATCATCAACGAAGAAAGCGTAAACATTCTATTTTTAGGTGTGACATAAAAAAACAGTCATAAATCTAGCCAAATGATTGGATTCTTGCGCGGCACACATTTTCCCGCGCCTCGTTTACACCAAACAAGATTATAATAAAACGAGCCGACCCGCTGCGTATCATACGCCGCTATTTAGTTGTTTTTTTTCTACTTTTCAGTAATTTATAATTTGTGAATTTGACAGTACCAATGCTGCCATTGAAAATATTTGCTTAAAAACACTAAACCCCCCCCCCCCCCCCATGTGAAAGCAGCCTCCTCTTAGTTACCTCCTCTAAGTTTAAAATCGTTTTAAACTAAATTATCTGCCCCTAATAGCCGTCACCAAACCCGTCTCTATGATTGTAAAATGTAAACAGAGTGAACACCGCTCACCAGATCATGTGGGGTGGGGGTGGTAGTGATAGTGATAGAGAGGAAGAGAGGGGACTGCAAAGGCGCTCTTGCAGCTTGTTTTCTAACTGATCCCAGAAGAGAATTATATATATAGATGGCATTATTGGGGGTGATCGTTTGCCCACGAACATATCTCATTAACCCCATAAATTATTACCAGTTAATTGTAATGTGTGTTAAATTAATACTTTAAAGTTTTCAAGGCACATAGGCTGGTTTTCAAAGAAAGCGATATTTCAGAGTTATTTGATTTAAAAGACAAGAATACATAGAGCTATTTTCACTTACACGCCGCTTGCGAGACAAACAAAGAAATTAGGTCAAAAGTACATCTGGGAATTCTTAAATAACAGACTGAAATAGAAACGGATAGTTCCGATGTCTAAAATTAACGATGGCCTTGTAATTATTAGTTTTATCCCTCTGCTGTTTAGTGAAAGCGAAACTGGTCGCCATTTTTAGTAAGCGCATGAGCCGTGAGATGCCACGAAAATGACAAACCCGGAAGCGTTGAACCGAAGGCCTACCTAGGGCCTATCAAATTTGTAGTTCTATATCAACTTTTCAACAATTTCCGGTAATTGGAAGTGTAACTTATTCACCTTTTGGTTTTTCAAAAGCCTATAAAAATAACTTGAGTACTGTTTTAGACAGATAAATGAAATTTCACATAGGGCCTACACATAAAAGATTTAATTTTCTGCCTTCTCTCAAATTTTGAGTCATTTCTATTGACTGGAATTAGTACTTTACGCCTTTACGCTTTTTGTGATTTCTAAAAAAATGCATATAAAGTACTAATATTCTGCACTATTATACACGCATTGTTCACTATGTTCACAAATAAGGCAATAACTGAAGTCTAAATAAGTACATATTATTAGCATGTGTTGTAAAGCTATTAAATTTTCTTTGTGGTTAGTACTTATATATTTCTGCTTTTTAGTACATATATGTCCTATTGTTACATCTCAACCACACACAACTGCTGATTTCTTTATTATTTGTTTTTACATCTGGCATGAGGGCTTAAGAATGATTGAAGTTGATGCCTCCATTGAGCAGATTAAATAACTTTTCATACATCAGGCCCCTATATAATATGTATTGATTATTAGCTACATTACAGCATTTAGGATACTACAAAGTATTATTACCCAATTTAAAATGAAGAATAATTTAATTTCTCAGGATACAGAAAATGTTGAAGATGACTCTGGAGATGAAATGGCATCAGCGAGAAAGATGGCAGTCAATAAAAACAAGAAAAAATCTGGAGGGTTCCAGTCCATGGGTATTTTTTACTAAATTTTTGTATTTAAAAGTTGAACACAGTTAATATTTCCCTGTTTAAAACTTGATATAATTTTTAAATTTTATTAAACAAAAATTTAGTTGTTAATTTTGTCATGATCATATTTCCTTTATATATATATATATTAAAAAAAAACCCACTGTGTAAACCTTATTAAAGAAATAAGAATTACTCTCAAATTTTAAAACCTCATATTTTTATTCTGTATCCTACTTCTTTTACAAAATGTTCATGTTTATTTATTTTTTCTTTTATTCCAGGTTTATCACATCCAGTTCTGAAAGGCATCTTAAGACGTGGCTACAAGGTTCCAACACCCATACAGAGGAAGGTTTGTAGCTTAGTAGAACTTGAAGATAGTGATACATTTTCCTTTTAATATAAGTATAATGCAGATAGTTAATGCTGGGTTGAAAAAAACAGTTTTGTGAAATATAAACTTAAGTTAAAAAAGTGCACACATTTTATGTTTAAGAACTGCCAGTCATAGTTAGGACAAATCATACTGTCATAAAGCCAACACCAACAGAGATTTGGGTTTGCAGGAAAAGACCACTATTTAAAAATTATATTACTTTAAGAGAAAATGAATTTTAGTTTTTTGTCCTTATTTTAATATTTGTGTTGTAGTATTAAAATAATTACATTAAAATCTTTCATTAACGTAAATGTTTTCTCACCATTAGTATTGATATTTTAATTTAGATTTAAACCTTAACATTAGCAACCACAGACTGTTTTAAATTGAACACTAATTATCAGTATTAAATGGTATCTTTTTTTTTTTATTTGGATTAGACCATTCCCATAATCCTTGAAGGGAAAGACGTCGTGGCTATGGCTAGAACAGGCAGTGGAAAAACTGCCGCCTTCCTTGTTCCAATGTTTGAGAAACTGAAATCACACTCGTCTTCTGGGGCACGTGCCATGGTCCTAGCTCCAACTAGAGAGTTAGCTATTCAGACATTGAAGTTTACAAAAGAGGTAAAGCAGTTCTACTTGATTTTCTTCTTGTGATAGTAAAAATAGCTCATCTCTTAAGCAAAAGAAATTTTTTTTAAAAAACTATTTTAAGTTGTTCAAAAATATTTTTCAACAATTACTAGAGGTTAAATGTTGAAATGTTTGAACTTCTACATTTTAGATTGGAAAATTTACTGGTTTAAAAGCTGCAGTAATTCTTGGAGGAGACAAGTAAGTTTATTATTTATATTGTACTAAATTTAACATATCAATGTTTGTCATATCTCAAATAGTCTAAAATTTGCTAAAAGTTTATTATTTATATTGTACTTAATTTAACATATCAATGTTTGTCATATCTCAAATAGTCTAAAATTTGCTAAAAGTTTATTATTTATATTGTACTTAATTTAACATATCAATGTTTGTCATATCTCAAATAGTCTAAAATTTGCTAAAAGTATAACGATAAACACAATTTTCTTTCAGAATGGATGATCAGTTCGCAGCTATGCATGATCACCCTGACATGTAAGTAACAAGCATGTCTTCAATTGATTAAATTAAATGTACCAGTCTTGTTGAAAATGAAACACATGCATGTGTCTAGTGTGACAGCTCATACTTTATGCTTGCGTTTATGAGGCAGACAAGGAAGCAAATACTGACTTTCCTTTAATAAAAATAAACTGAATTATCAAAAATTATATTTATACAATGTAGTATTTCTCCATTTATACGTTATGATCTAAATTGAGAGTTCTGCCATGTTTTATTGCTTTGTTTTATTCAATAGGTTTTATAATAATGATAAATATTTATAAATTTTTTTTCTACTAAAGAATTATTGCTACACCTGGACGTCTTCTTCATATTTTGGTGGAAATGGAAATCAAGCTTAAAGCTATTGAATATGTTGTTTTTGATGAAGCTGACAGGTAGTAAATTAATTTTACATTTATTTACATAGAAACTTTTTGAACAAATTATTTAACTTTTTAAGGTTATTTTCAATAAATGATGCTGTCTCAACAAACTTAGTTGGAGCTATTCAAAACCTGTTGGTTTATTTGAGGTTACTGATAACTTAGCTATTTGCACAACCTCAATTTATACATGTATATATTTAGTAAGATTGTCTAGTAAAGTTGAATTCTCCTTTGAACTTGATGGCCCAGAAGCAAGTGAAGTTGAGTTCACATGTTTCTGTGACCTCCTTGACATAGTAGTCAGTGCTAAGCCCAGCTGCCTTTACTTTCCCTAACCTGAGTTAGGTACCCACTATAGCAAGGTGGACTCATAGACGTTCAACATATTGAACCTGGATTTGAATTTGAAACTTTCTGGTTAGCCGTTGTATGCTCTACAATTTGACCATGCCGTCCCATAAGAAAAAAACTATGCTGCAACAAAATCCCTTTACACCTTTTTTTACTTTTTTAGGCTGTTTGAGATGGGGTTTCAAGACCAGCTTCAGGAGATCATACACAGGATGCCTGACTCTAGGCAGACGCTGCTATTTTCAGCCACTCTGCCCAAATCTTTGATTGAGTTTGCCCGGGCTGGGTTGACAGATCCCACGCTACTGCGTTTAGATGTTGACGCTAAGCTGAGTGAAAATTTAAAGGTAGTTACATGTGCTAAATTTAATGTTGACTTAAAGCTAAGTGAAAATTTCAAGGTAATGACATGTGCTGAGTAAAAAAAAAGTTACGTTTCCTTTTTGAACATTACGGTCCATGGGGCAAGTGATGTAGAGTTCAACTTTTTCTGTGACCTCAGCATAGTATGGTCAGCACTATACCCAGCCAACTTTACTTTCCCTAACATTAGTTAGGTACCCATCAGAGCTGGGTTGACTCAGGGACATTCTACTGACTTGAACCCTGATTTGAACTCAAGACTTTCGTGTTAGCCCTATATGTGCTGAATATATCAAGCATTTAGTTACAATAACTTTGGGGTTATTAGATATTATAGTTATTATGACAGGGCCAAATGTCCAAAATAAACTTTTTCTTGAATGAATTTTTTTTATCTTGAGATATTTTGTGATGTAATCTATATATAAATTTCAGCATTCTTTAGGTGCAATATACTGTAAATCTATCAAGCAAACTGCTACATCTCAGACACAATACTAAATTTATATATTTAATATTTCTGTACTTTAAAAACTTATCCAGTTGAGCTTCTTGTCATGTCGAGATGGTGAAAAATGTGCCCTGCTGGTGTACCTTCTAAAGCACATCATCCTCCCCACAGAACAGACTGTTGTGTTTGCTGCAACCAAACATCACGTCGAGTTCCTTAACATGGTAATTTTTAAGTTTAAACTCAATTTTTATGCTTAAGTGTTAATTTTTACCTATAGCTCTTAAGGAAAATATTTGTTTTTATAAGAATTATTTTAATGAATAATTTATTTTCATTAATATTTTGTTGGAAATAAAAAAATCTCCAAAGGTATCAGCTTACAGCTGTAAAAATAAAAAATACCAATGATATTGGTGGTATAAAAAATTCTGTCTATTAACAAAATAATTACTAGTGCTTAAGCTCAAAAAGATTGTTTTATGTTGTCTTTAATGCCTAACATTTAAAGAAATTTTTGATACAGTTTCAAAATAAAATGGTGATTCAACAAAGTTTCTATTATGTGACATATCATTTTTCACTTTTTCACACAAACCATAACTGTCAGCTCTGATGACACATGTCATATTTCACTTAACTTTTCCCATGACATGTCATTTGTTCCCACAGCTCCTTACACAGTGTGGCTTCAGTGTCACCTACATTTACAGCTCCCTAGACCCAGCGGCCAGAAAGATCAACGCAGCCAAATTTTCTCTAGGGAAAGTAAAAATCCTGATAGTCACCGACCTAGCAGCCAGAGGTATTGACGTCCCACTACTGGACAATGTGATTAACTTCCATTTCCCAGCCAAACCTAAGCTGTTTGTCCATAGAGTTGGTAAGTTATCTCCCTTTGGCTCAATTATTTATCTCCCTTTGGCTCAATTATTTATTTCCCTTTCTGTTTCTCTGTCATGTCATATTTGTTATTTCTTCAAAGTTTCAAACCTAGACTTTATATTCTGGTTTAATTACCTTTTTTTTTCGATTTTCTCTAAATAATTTTTTGTCTTGTTTTTCTCTTTTGCACTGTGGTTAAAGGGATTAGCAGTTATATATAACAGTTTTGCATAACAGTAATGCTCTTTTTGTCAATAGGTCGAGTTGCAAGAGCTGGCAGAAGTGGGGTTGCCTACTCATTTCTTTCCCCAGAGGAAATGTCACACTTTGTGGACCTCCACGTCTTCTTGGGTCGACCTCTCAAATTTGTGCCACTTGGGGAAAAGGTGGAAGGTAAAGGAACAAGCTGTTATTGGATGAGTTTAATTGTGAAGATAAAAATTGATTAATTAATAAGTAAAATTATGATGGTAGAAGTAATTGTTTATTTGGTGAAATGAAATGGGAAGGTGAAAATAATAATTGGGAATGGTAGGTGAGTGCTAGTGAGACAGAATAGTCACTTTTCCAAAAGTCTTGAGTCAGCAGGATGTTAATTAGTTAGTTTTGATAGGTACTTGAGTTAAGTATGGGAATCTAAAAGTTCATAGGTACACTGATAGCATTCTTGTGCATTGCTCATAGAAACAGATGAATCCCAACTCATCTTTTTTAAAAGTGTATTTAAAATGCCTTTAAAGATACATTATCTGCTGTTTTTTTTGTTTTTTTTTTTTGAAATTTTTGTTCATTGATTCAATTAATGAAATTAATTTATTTTACCAGACGAAGATGGTTGGTTTGGTGAAGTTCCACAAAGTCTAATTGACGATGAAGATGCTGAGCTAGTCCAGATAATTAAAGACTCTATAGAACTTGTAAGTCTCATATAGAACTTGTAAGTACTTGTAAGTCTCATATAGAACTTGTAAGTCTCATATAGAACTTGTAAGTCTCATATAGAACTTGTAAGTCATATAGAACTTGTAAGTCTCATATAGAACTTGTAAGTCTCATATAGAAAAATTATTTTACAATTTACATTAACATTCCAAAATTATTGGAAGGTTACATTTCTGGGAAAACGTACCATGTATCATCAAAAAATGTTTAGTAATCAATCATCCAGCAGTATTACATCTAACAATATTTTCATATTTTAATAAGATGACTATCAATGAAATCTATTATAAGTCCTATAGAAAATCAGTAACTGTTGATATTTTCAGACTGGCGTTCAATGAAGTTTATTATAAATCCCATAGAAAATCATTAATTGTAGATGCTTTCAGACAGGTTTGATTAAACTCAATTCAAATGTATACAGAAGATCTAATGGTGTTATTTTTTAGACCAGTTTGGTTAAAGTCTGCTCAAATGCCTATAGAAAATATTGCAAGTCTCGTCCAGCCCCAGCTACTGAGTCCACTAAGAGAGTGAAAAAGATGGTTGAAGATGGGGTGAAGGTCGGCATCCATCCTAAATTAAGTGAGTAATCCCTGTTTTAGTAGCATGTTGTTTGATCTAGTTGCATAGATCAGCCAATGTTCAGATTTGAAATAAGTTGTGGGTGTGAAATTATGTGTTCTGTTTTTTTTCTATTTCCAGATAACTTGGAAGTTGATGAGAAAGGTGTAAGATTAGAAATGTTAAATGCACTGAAAAATTACAAACCAAAAACTGTAAGCATATTTTTTAATGATTTCTTTTTAAATATTTTTTTTACAAAATTTACTAAATAAAATACCACTATACTAGTTTTGTTTATTAAGAACATTTGTTTATTAAAATAAAACACTATATTTTAAAATATTTAGTTTTACATAGATTAACAAGCATATGTTCACAGCAGTTAATGTATTTGTCTACTTATTGATTTGTTCATACTGCTCGTACTTTGTTTACCTAGTCTGAAAAATATTTTCTAATTAACTTGGTTCATTACTAATATTATTTTGTTTTACAAAACATTTTATTTCTGATTAGATCTGACCAACCATTTTATTTCTGATTATATCTGACCGACCATTTTATTTCTAATTGAATCTGACAGACCATTTTATTTCTAATTGAATCTGACAGACCATTTTATTTCTAATTGAATCTGACCATTTTATTTCTGATTGAATCTAACAGACCATTTTATTTCTAATTGAATCTGACAGACCATTTTATTTCTAATTGAATCTGACAGACCATTTTATTTCTAATTGAATCTGACAGACCATTTTATTTCTAATTGAATCTGACAGACCATTTTATTTCTAATTGAATCTGACAGACCATTTTATTTCTAATTGAATCTGACAGACCATTTTATTTCTAATTGAATCTGACAGACCATTTTATTTCTAATTGAATCTGACAGACCATTTTATTTCTGATTGAATCTGACAGACCATATTTGAGATCAACAGCACCAGCAAGAAGATGGGCCTGGAGGTGATGAAAGCCAAAAGAGCTCTACATGATGAGATACTGCAGAAGAACGAAGCTCGCAGGAAAGAGAGAGATAATGAGGGAGCCAGCGGTTCCACATTTTCATCTTCTTTGTTTGACCATCTCGGATCTCACAAGCGAAAAATGTCAGATGAAGCGGATCAGAAAGACATTGAAGTAAGTTAAATTTTTCTCAAATCTGTTAATCCTTTGTTATATTTATTATATTGTATACACCTAAATTAATGTTTGTTATTATTCTAAGGTTTAGATTTGTTTATTTTCATGTTGTTTTATTCTCCACTAAAATCAGCTTGTGTAATGACATTTTTTGCAGTATATTTAAATTTATAACAAGTTTTTCTCTACAAAACCTTTATACGCTATGTTTAGGCAATATGTCTTTCTTCGCATTTAGTTAAATTATGACTTGTCATTCTAAGCGTAAAAATATTTTTCTTGGTGGTAGCACCTATAAAATATGTAGGAAGGGTTAATGGATAATCACCAAAATATATTGGTACAACTGTGTATTCTCTTTAAATTTGAATTGCAGTCTGTGTTTGATACCATTGTGGGAAGCAAATCTAAGAGGAGGAAATCAGAGGGCTCCAAGACAAAACCAGCCCCTGAGACCAAAGACAAAGAGAATTTTATTTATTACAGGCCTGCTGACTATGCCTCAGAGAAAGGGTAGGCTTTATTCATTTGATCTTTATGATCATTTTAACACTAAATGCTGTCCTTGTTAAATTGTCTTTATTTTATTTTGGTATAAATTTTAACAAATACATAATGTTCATTATTAATTCTATTGATGTTTATGATTAATTTAACATTATGAATAATGTTATTTAATTGTCTTTTTTAAAATTTGGTGTGAATGTATTTTTTTAATTAATTAACTTGATGTTTATGATTGGTTTAACACTGTGAATGAGACTAAAGTGTCTTTATGTTAATGTGATGAAAATTTTATCAAAACTTTAAGGTTGAGTATTTCAAACACTTTTGAGAGAGAAGCAAGCAGTGCCGTTCTAGATTTTACCAATGAGGATGAAAACAATCAGAACAAGAAAAAACGTCATTGGTAAGCCTAGCTTTTAAAATAGCCTCAGTATAATAGTATTGTATCTTGTTTCTTACTCTTACGCACCCAAGTTGAACTCTAAAAATGAGGAGTTACTTTTTTTCATATTTAATGTACACTGATTTTTTTTAATGAAGTAAACAACTTGCTTTATTTTCTTTAATTTAACCAGGGATAGAAAGAAGAAAAAGTATGTCACAGACTCAACAGAGCAAAAAAATAAAAAGATAAAAACAGAGAGCGGAAACTGGATATCTGCTTCATACAAATCTAACGCATATCCTTTTATTCAAACGTTCAGTACTTATATTGACAAGATTTTTTTTGTTGTGTACTTTGGTTTTAGTATAACTGCCCTAAGCCTTATCCTAACTGAAGTTTTCAGAAATTATAGTCTATCTTTCACTTCTATTTTAATAAGAACCACATGTTTAATTCAAACACTGACTAATGAGATTTTGTAAACTTTGACCTGAAAAGATTTACTACTAGTACTAACAAGAATTGACTTTCAGTATGATGCTATCTGATTCTGCCTATTTATTTTATACAAAAATAATGTTAATTTCATAATATTAGATGAGAGCAATCTACCAGTAAATAAGATTTTGTTACTTAATTGGCGAATATATAGTTAAATTACTGTATTTTACCGAGTATTAGTTACACCTGTGTTAGCTGTCCTTGACTGAGCCACTTATCGTGAATGGAGGACCAGAAACAACACAGACAGGGATGAGGGGGAAACTGGTGGGGAGAGAAATCAGAATAGGAAGTTGACCATCGTGGGGATGAAAAAGAGAAAATGTGAGTACATCTTAAAAACTGTCTTCTTTTAAACTCTATTGTGACCAGTGTATTAATGGCACTATTACATATTATTTAATGACTCAATTTGTTTTATTTTCCTAAAAACAATTCTGTAAAGTCATTATATATTTTTATTTCGATAAATGGTCTCTATACACATTACAAAGGCTAAACAAGTAACAGTTAATTAGATATGTATATGTCATTACATCATAGTACAATGAGTCAGTTATTTGTGTTTATTTTCTTGAAATATAATTTCACACTATTTCAAATTATTGCATAATGTGCAGTAAACTATTAAATAGCATATTTATATTTATCGAACATTACATTAGTTTAGTTACATACTTTGAATATTCAAAATGCGTTAATTTCAGTCACATTCTTAAAACTTTATAAAACAGCTTAATTTTAGCTTAGTTAATTGGTATTGTTTAAATTGATGCACTAAATATATATATATATAAGTTTTAGGACACCACTTTTGCTTAGTTCAGGCTTGTCTCTATACATGATTTTTATTTGAAGTATTTATAGGAACTTCATAGACATAATTTTTATTCTTTGGTCACAGGGCACACAAAGGGTTCAGGGGAAGAGGCAAGCAGGAAACAAAACCAACAGAAATTTAAACTTGGGAAAGCAGGAGGCTTGAAGTCTGCTGACCAGATTTTGAAAAACAGGAGAAGGAAAGCCAAAATAGAAAATTTCCAGAAGTACAGGCAAAATATCCACTCCAAGAGGCAGGGGAAGGCGGAGCAAGGGAAAAAAGGAAAGAGAAAATAAATTTATTTTGTCTATTTGGGTTACTGATTTTTTTTTTTAAAGTAAATATTTAAAGCAAATGCAATTAACTTTGGGGAATAATCCCACATAGTCCTAAATTTAAAAGTGACCCATTGCCTTAGAGATTGGTTCCTCAGGTGAAGTGCACTAAACTGTAATACCTGATTAATCCAGTTAGGGAAAGAAAATTGTGGTTGGGCAGAGCGCTGGCCATTAATATGCAGAGATTGTAGAAACAGATGAACTCTACTAAACCTACTATGCATACAGCTAGGTCTACTATATGGGTAAACTTCTAAAAAGTTCGATTATTGTAAACCTGTCAAAATGCAATACATCTGCATCATAAACAGCTGATATGTGTTGATGTTGGGTACCTGGCAGCATATGGGTTGCTAAGGCGCTCTTCTGTTAAAGAAATTCACATACTGTTCATGCCTCACAATTTAATATATTGCTACCACTTTGACCAGTTTAATTGGGTTGGGTAGTCAAGTTGTAGAGTTCTCAACTGCTAACCCAAGAGTCACGAGTTCAGAACATGCACTTTATTGTCTGTAAGATGTCCCAGAGTCCACCCAGCACTAATGGGTAACTAACTCATATTAGGGTAAGTAGAGACAGCTGAGCAAAGTGCCGACACCATTTCTTTATATGGCATGGTCAAGAAACATGAACTCTACTTCATCTGGATCATTAGGTCTAAAAAGGGACCTTTAGTAATAATGCCATGATTTATAAATTTATTTTTCTTCACAACGATTAACAAACATGTCATAAACAAGACTTATAAAATACAAATCAACACATGTATGGTGTGAGAAACATGTTTTATCATACTCATACAGCAAACAGGGACATGTACAGCAATTTCAAAACATGTTATATTTTAAAATAAATAGCACAGCTATCTTTTCAAAGCCACCCGATATTATGAGCATTTTACTAAGAGTTGTATTGTGAGCGTATATTTCTGTAAATTCTTTTGCATAGAAACATTAAACAGTCATCTGACATGGCTATACTAAAAGTTGGTTTGCACCATTAACAAGAGAGACATCATTAGTTAATTTATAAGTAGATTTCAACAGGGGATATGTATATAAATAAACATCAAAAGCATTGCCCTAGAGTGCAAAAGATAAACATCACTTGAAATAAGTATAAGGCAACAAAAAAATATCTAAAAAAAAAGACCTCCAGGTGCCTACAATATTATTTTCATTGACTGAATAAAAACTGATAAATTAATACACTGCTTGAGGGGATGAGAACTTTCCTGGAATGAATTCAGACCTATATCTAATACACTGGTTGATAGAGAAACAATACAACAGTAGCAGTAATGAAAAACCTAGATCTAATACACTGGTTGATAGAGAAACAATACAACAGTAGCAGTAATAGAAAGAAGAACAACATATTTTACTTTAGTATAGGACAAAGCATAAACGTTTAGGGTGATTAGTTTAGTAGGCTGTAAATAAAACAACAAAACCATTTCCTGCCTCAACAAATACATTAGAATATTTTACAAATGCAAGTAGATGGAAGAGTGGAAATCAACAAGCCATTTAGAAGAAAAAAAACCTTATGGGTAAGTAGTTTATTTAATGTGAATTATTGAACTGGGAACCACTGGCTTTTAAAATATATTAGAGATAATGTTTTTATGCCTCACAAAAATAGTTGAGAGAAGTCACGATTAAATTTTTTCCACACATTCTGTGCACAATTATTAAGCACTGTTTGTGTCTGATACATAAAACACTCATATACTCAGTTACAAATTTTTTACAGTTTAGAGATCATGCTTAGACATTTATTTCACTGCTAATAGACAGGTGAGCTGTTTAGGTGATTGTATTTACATTTTAAATACAATTTTTAAAAAAAAATTACTAACCACAACCATATTTTTTTTTTTAAAAATCATTTCATTAAGACTATTTTTTCAAAGAAAACGAGATCACAATTTAAAAAGTGTGACTTGATAAGAAATGGATGAAATACAATTTTACTATCCATGCTAGGGGAATCAGTTTTGTAAGAGTATTGAGTTGGTCAATACTGAAAGACTGTTACTTTTTAAAAAGAAAAATTCATTAATGGTACCAGTAAAAGATTAGAGACATGCATACATAGCAGTTTATGCAACAAATACACTTTTACTTGCTACCCTGGTAAACATTTTTTTATATAACAGATGAAGATGTCAACAATGTCATTTATTTCAGGGGGCTAATCAATTTTATCCTTAACCATAGGATCAAAACAATCAATTTCATCATTGACTGTAGTATATATTATTCTAAGTTTTAAATAATTTAAATAAAACAGCGTCTTTTTCTTAGTTTTTAATCATTTATACATCAACAGAAAGTTACAAAAACAAATCCTTTAAAACTATAATTTTTGGTACAGTTATCAATTTAGCTGAGCTTTTTATTTATTTTTTCTTCAATCGGTTTACTATTTTTTTAAGTTAATAAAGCCCTGACTAGGCCAAATATAGTGGTTTATAAAAGATATACAAAGACACAGCCATGATTTATAATATATTAATAAGTCTTGAGGAAGAAAAATCACACAGCAGAAACTATGCGTGTTTTCAGATGAGTAGTTACAAAAATGTGACGGACTAGAGTGATCACAATGAATTTATTTGCTCTAATTTTTCCCCCTTTAAACTGCGGTACCAAATTACCAGTAAAACGTTTTGTGATCGTTTTGTTTTTTAACAAATACAATGAGCTCATCAACAATACAACATGTCAAATAGAATATTTACAACAGACAAAAAGGTAGTTAAATAAATAAAAAAAACAATACTTAAGCTTAGAGTTAAAAAAGTTGTGTACATGAATAGTGGTCATGTGAGGGTGGTCACATATAACAGTAGGGAAAAACAGAGTGTAAAAATAAATGTGGTTTTATGTCAAGTGCCATTGGGTTGAAACTTATCTAAAACAATAAGCAGAAATAAGGGAACAAATAAATAATTGTAATGCTGTTTGACATGAGTTAGGAAACTTCATTACTTGAGTATAATGCAAAATAAAAAAAAATTATCAAATAAATTATTTCTATATTTTAAAAATACGCTATTTTTTTTACAAGCATATTTTATTTTTTATAACATACGGATAGCTGTTATAAATTGTATATTAAATAAAAATAGAATTTTTGTGACCTGAAGCGATTTATTTGTACCTCTTTAGATTAACTTCAACAAATTTGTCACTTTATCCTAGCAAGAAATATTTTCCGTCACCAACAGTAACCTGGCCAGCTTGTAGTTTGTCATCCCATCCTGGCAGTACACATTAGATTCACCATCCAGGCAGCACACATTAGATTCACATCATAGCATTTTTGGTCAAGTTCGTCACTGTTACACTTGGCCCAATACCTACTAAGCCAAGTCACAGTCACCTTTTACTAGCCGCACATGCGACTTGACCAACTTCAAGATAGCATCTCATGCTAACGGCGCATATTTTTCCTCATCATAATAGCATCTCATGCTAACGGCGCATATTTTTCCTCATCATAATAGCATCTCATGCTAACGGCGCATATTTTTCCTCATCATAAGCGACTTGGCCATCATAGGGGGCATTGGTTTCATCACTGAAACAGAGGAGGCATTGGTCTCTTGACTAAACTAGCAGTTGTAAACTCTTAATCAAATTTTTAAAAATAAATAATCCTTTACAGTCACCTTTAGCAGATTTATCAAACCAATAGACAAGCTGCTTTAAAATAATAAAAAATAACTTCTAACAATAAACAGCAATTATTTTTCATTTTAGGTAGTATTAATAAGTTTAAAAGTGTCCATTATTAATGTTTAAACAATATGTACAAGAAATTGGTAAATTAAAGTCGAAATTCCATTTAATTTTAGCATCACAATGCTAAATCTAGCACAGATACCAAAACTAGAACTTGGTTTCAGTTACAGTATCAGTGCATGAACAATTTTCATTAAAAACAGGAAATCACCTGAAATTTTAACATAAGCCTCATCTGGCTGTACAATCTAAACTCATAACTAGACTGTAAAGGATTAAGTCCTTATGCTATAAATAACATAACAGCTGTTTAAATAACATTAAAAATACCATTTTTGTATAAAAAAAAAGAACTCACTTCGAGGCTGGTCCATGGGGTTGTGTGCAGCCACCAGGAGGCTGGGCTTGTACGACCTGACACCAGACCCAGCCCCTTTAATGTTGGGGTTACCCTTGGTCCTCATCACACAGCCTGTTCCAAACTGTTTCTGTTTCCTCAAAACTTCCCTGGGTGGTTTAGCGATAGTGTCAACATAAGCCAGTTGGGCTTTTCTACCTGGGAAACAGAAGTTAACATTAGGGCAAGTGGTTTAGCTATAGGGCAAGTGGTTGAGCTATAGGGCAAGTGGTTTAGCTATAGGGCAGGTGGTTTAGCTATAGGGTAGGTGGTTTAGCTATAGTGCCAACATAAGCCAGTTGGGCGTTTCTACCTGAGGACAAAAGTTAACATTAATGCAGGTGGTTTAGCTATAGGGCAAGTGGTTTAGCTATAGGGCAAGTGGTTTAGCTATAGGGCAGGTGGTTTAGCTATAGGGTAGGTGGTTTAGCTATAGTGCCAACATAAGCCAGTTGGGCGTTTCTACCTGAGGACAAAAGTTAACATTAATGCAGGTGGTTTAGCTATAGGGCAAGTGGTTTAGCTATAGAACAGGTGGTTTAGCTAATGGGCAGGTGGTTTAACTATAGGGCAGGTGGTTTAGCTTTAGGGCAGGTGGTTTAGCTATTGTGCAGGTGGTTTAGCTATAAGGCAGGTGGTTTAGCTACAGGGCAGGTGGTTTAGCTACAGGGCAGGTGGTTTAGCTATAGGGCAGGTGGTTTAGCTATAGGACAAGTGGCTTAGCTATAGTGCAGGTGGTTTAGCTACAGGGCAGGTGGTTTAGCTACAGGGCAGGTGGTTTAGCTATAGGGCAGGTGGTTTAGCTATAGGACAAGTGGCTTAGCTATAGTGCAGGTGGTTTAGCTATAGTGTCAACATAGGCCAGCTGGGATTTTCTACCTGGAGACCACTGTAAGGTGATTTGTCTATGTAGATGATAGATTGATAAACATCTGGACAGGTCCATCTTTTGAACTTCATACAGCAAGAGGGAGGGGTAATACAGAAAAAAATTAACCCTTACCTGCTTGACCTTTAACTATAGATGTGGACATGCTTTCTTTTAACTTCTGATATTTTATCTCACGCTCTTCAAATTTTTGCTGAAGAAGAAAATTCCATTAGGATAGATCCATACAGATATTAAAATTAATTGGTAAATACACTTTTAGTCATTAAATATATATATGACCACAGGAAATTAACAAATGAGAAAGATATGACAATGTATCAATAAAATATATAATCAATATACACAAGTGTAGATTTTATTTGAATTCCATTAAAATAATATCCTGATAATTTTTTCTTAATTTTGGCCAGAAAATTAATGAAATAGAGACCTGTAATTTTATTCACATTGAGGTCACTGCATTGAAAACGGAAATGGGCACTTACCAAGTAGAGTTCCCTCCAAGACTCGAGCTCGTTGCGCTTACTTCCCCTGAAATCCCGCTGACACAAGTTCTGCCACAGCTCGTCTGTGTCCTCTAACAGGTGCTTGACGATGGAGAAGATGTGCAAACATTTCAAGCAACAACACAAACTACACAAGTTACATAAGTATCAACAACATCATACAAAAAAACATCTCCCTAATCAAAGAAACAAATAACAAACAACATACATCATAAAAATCAACAAGGCCTAAGAGACGAACATCAATAGTGCAATCAAAGTTTGAGTGGCACAACAGATTTGTGGCACGATAGATTTTCATTAACAATGTTAATGTAATAAGGAAAGAATGAAAAAAAACATCTATACAAGAAAGATGTGATAAGGAAAGAAAGAACAAGACCATGTACAAGAAAGAGACTCTCCTGTATAAAAGATGGTGCACACAGGAAAAGATAACTACATCTGAGCACACTAAAGGAAAAGATAACTACAGCAGAGTATTTATCTTTTAGAGTTACCACATTCCAAAAAAGATGGGGTAGACAGAAAAAAGGAAAACATTTTTTTAATTAAAAAAAAAGCTATTTATTTCACAATGACCTGGTTTTTACAAAGTCTATTCATTAACGCATGAAATAAACATCTTTAATTAATAATTAAAATGTAAAACAATTGGCTTTTAAAAACAAATTAAATTAGAACGAAAGATAAACTGAATAAATTTTTGCGTATTTCAAGAATTAAGCAGTAAATAAAGAGCAACTTTTTCTAGCTATTAACAGAGTAATAGCTAACCAGAAATTGGATAATAATTGAGCAAAAACTAATTGAGTCAAAGTCATTAAGAATTTTTAAACATAGTTCTAAAAATGTTATTGGGTCAAAATTAACTCAAGAATCGATTATAAATTAGCAATAAAACTTTGAAATGGGTTGAAATTTTAAAGAATATAAGGAGTGAATAAAAAAATTAGATTATACCAAATTAAAATTTAGCAATAACAAACTACTTACTGGGTTGAAATCTTCTAGCTGGTACAGCTGTTGAGCTGTACATCTTTCTAGGACTGGCTTTAGAATACTGTAAGGTGTTCCACCAACATTCTCAATGTCTGAAGGAAACAAGGATTGAAAAACTTAATGTTTTCAAATAGAAACATTCAATTTAAATACAATGGAATATACAAACTACACTGTTTTTCATTATCTTTTTTTCTTTTTGTGCCCAAGACACATGGGGCAGAACAAATTGAGTTTATGACTTTGAGGGATAATGTGGTCAGCACTATGCCCAGCTGCCTTTGTTTCCTTAACATGAGTCAGGTACTCATAACTGCTGGGTGATCTCAGGAATGTTTTAAAGACTCCAGCTCACGATGCAAACTCGAGATTTCCTACTACCCAATAACACAGGTTTTACAAGGGTGAACTAAGAATGTACTATAACTATAAAAAAAAAAGACCAACTTACAATCAATGTTTTCTATTAGAACTTGCATACACAGGTCAAATAGTGGCTTCACCTCTGGAAATAAAAAATTTCATGAATTGCGGTTGTAGTGCATAATCTTGCATATGATGTGATGGTTCACTTATTCTTAATTTGCTTTAATTATTTTTAGATTTTCATTTCATAAAATTATACTATAACTATAACTTGTCAAAGTCAAATGATATATGCTTCTTTTTGAAAACATTTATGTATAACGTTATGTTAATTTTGGAATAATATTTTTTATCATGAAAAAAAGTAGCAGATGTTTAAGGTAGCAACTTTATATCATAAGACACTGTTCATGGTTAAAGAAATGGTCCTAATTTTTACTGATTTAAGAGTTATTTAGTTTGTTGCTAATTATTTTAACAGGTAAGAAATCTTTCATGGAATAATGCATGAATTTTAACATATACACTGTACACTTTTTGGTACATTTAAGCAAGCATTAAAATAATATTGTGTATAGAAATGAAATGTAAACAAAAACATACCTGTGACTCCGTGCCTTCTACCAGAATAGACCTGGGTCCTACAAACAGACTTGACCCCAATAGAGTCAGGGTCTACTTCAGGGGGAGGGGGTGAGACATCACCTACAGCAATAACAAATCATTTTTTTACTGTACAGAACTGGTCAACTATTAGATAATCTAGCATGCAATTTCAAACAAAACAAAGTAGTATTGCGTAATACATAAAATACTATTTTTAATTTTTGGCTTTCATCAGAGAAATCAACACAGTAACTTTAGTTATATTCAATGTGTTATTCATTTAGTACAGAATTTTAACAACATAGAGTGTCTATTTTAAAGCTCCAGGAAGGAAAGTATTTACAATGTAAAAAAAAGGTCAGTGGCACGATTCTACCCATAAACTTTAACAACCTCGAGAAGTAAAACTTGTGAACTCACCATCTTCCTGATTCATGTAGTAAGGATTGTACTTCAACGGCTTGTAGTTGACATTGATCTCAGGTAATAAGCTCATGATATCTTTCTCTATGGTTACCTAAGTAGATCAACACAAACAGAACTATAAAATGTGTACTATGGCACAATACAGGCTAATGCCAGAATCAAACCTAATTCCTTACATAAATGAGGTCTAATTTACACATAATCAAATGTATGTAAATGAATTTTGGAGTTAAGTGTAGTCAAAACAAGTGAAGAATGATGGAATAAAATACAAGTTATACGGATAAACAAGATTTAGCATTTTTAACACTTTTATATGAAATATAAAAAAATATGAAGTAATATACTTAATTTTTAAATATTTCTACAATTTAAGTTTAGAAATACTTACATTTTTTGCAGGGGAAGGCACAGAAAATTTGGAGCTGGAAGAACTTGGTTTTTCTTGGACTGATTTTTTTGACTTCTCTGCTGAAGAGCTAGAGTGTGGTTTAGTACTGGCACTCGGGGACACATTGGTGGAGGGCGTGGCTTTACGGCTGGGCGTCTTGACCTTGGCTTTCTTGAGCACGGCCACTTCATCAAAGTTCATGAAGTCATCAAAAGACATTTTACTCTCATCAATCAGAGATTTGGGGCTTTTTGTTTTTGTGGTCAAATCACTGGGGTCTATACTTTCGGAAGTAACGCCATCTTGACTAGAAGAGTTAGAATCTTCATCAGAATAATTTGTAATGTGGTCTGAATATGAAGTCGAGGCGACAGGTGAAACTTTCTTGGAAGGATGATCTTTATCGGAAGATCTTTTGTCTGGCTGGTCAACATGTGATTTGTGGGATGAAAGCTCTTTGGTGGAAGATCTTTTTTTCTGGGGGTCATTGTGTGATCTATGAGATGGAGACGAAGGTTCCTGTTTGATGTGAATGGCTTCACTGAACAGATCCAACTCGGGCTCCACATAAGCTTTGGGTTTTTGTTTCTTTGGTTTGGCTGATGAAGAGGAAATTTTAGAGACTGAGTCTTTGGTGCCCTGGTGAGAAGATCCAGAGCTTTTACTGCTGTGTTTACTAATGGATGGTTTTTCACTGTGTTTTTGATGAGACTGTTGAGGTTTAGCTGTCTCACTGTCTCTGTGTTTATCTGATGAACTGCTGGCTTGTTCTGGTGAAGATTTTGACTTTTCTTTATGAGATTTATCACTGTGAGAGTGAACAGAGTCTTCATCTGATGGTGATTGGTTATCCTTGCTATGCTTTGAAGAATGAGATGGTTTGTGGGATTCTGTGTGACCTGAAGATTTTTTGTATTCAGATCGACTTGAAGACTTGTGTTCAGAATGACCTGAAGATTTGCGTTCAGAATGATCTGAAGATTTGCGTTCAGAATGACCTGAAGATTTGCGTTCAGAATGATCTGAAGATTTGCGTTCAGAATGATCTGTAGAGTTGCGTTCAGAATGTCCTGAAGATTTGTGTTCTGATTGACTTGAAGATTTGTGTTCAGGTTGACTTGAAGATTTGTGTTCAGGTTGACTTGAAGATTTGTGTTTAGATTGACTTGATGATTTGTGTTCAGGTTGACTTGAAGACCTGTGTTCAGACTGACTTGAAGATTTGTGTTCAGGTTGACTTGAAGATTTGTGTTCAGATTGTCCTGAAGATTTGTGTATAGATTGACTTGAAGACCTGTGTTCAGATTGATTTGAAGACCTGTGTTCAGATTGACTTGAAGATCTGTGTTCAGGTTGACTTGAAGACCTGTGTTCAGATTTTCTATGTGAAGATGAAACTGATGAAGACCTCTGTGAAGAAGACTTATGATGGGAAGACTCTGACTGGCTTAGTTTACCTGAAGCTGTATCAGCCTTTTCTTGCTTTATTTTAGCAGCTATAGGAGTTGGCGAATACTGATCAACAGTGTCAAAGTGTGTGGAGGGTGAGTAATGCTCAACATCGCTATCTGGCTGATATGAGTACTGTTGTTTTTCTGACTTTTTGGGAGTAGGGGAATAGTCTTTGTTTCCTTTGGTGTCAGTGGAAATGGGAGTTGGATTATACTCCTCTTGCTTAACTCTAACAACAGGCGTGGGGTTATAACTGACCTGTTTGGTGTTATCTATAGGCGTGGGGCTATACCTGTTCTGTTTGGTGTTCTCTATAGGTGTTGGGTTATACCTGTTCTGGGTGCTCTCGATAGGTGTTGGGTTATACCTGTTCTTGGTACTCGCTACAGGTGTGGGGCTATACCTCTCCTGTTTTATTTTCACCACAGGTGTGGGGCTATACTTCTTCACACTGCTATCCCCTGACCTAGGTGTTGGGGAGTACCTTTCAGATTTAATGATAGCATTGCCTGTGGGTGAATACAGCTCCTCCGCATTCACAGGTCTGAACTTGCTAGCACTGAGGGAGGGGTTGGAGGGGGAGTATAGTTCCTCGTCAGCTAAACCACTCATGTGTTTAGGCACATGGACACTAATTGCTGGAGTCTCCAATTTAATTATTTTAGTAGGAATGTACGAGTTCTCGCTGAAAGACTTATCAACAGTAGGGTTGTAGGGTGAAGATGAGTTGCTATCATCACTGCTGTTTCTTTTCTTACCAGACGTTTGTCTGGAAGATTTTTCCTGCATTGAATGTTTCCTCTTTGATTCTTTGGTGCCTTGGTGAGAAGATCCAGAGCTTTTACCAGAGGATGGTTCATGTGAGGATTTGTGATGGGAGGACGAGGAGCTTCTGTGCGAAGAAGACCTGTGATGGGAGGACGTGGATTTTTTCTGCGAGGAAGAAGACACAGATTCGTCATCTGAAAGAGGAGACCTTTCATGGGAGGAAGAGGACCTACTTTGCGAGGAGGAAGACCTGCTGCGTGATGACGTTTTGACGACATTTGCAGTGTCATCGTCACTGTCGCTCATACTGTGGTGTTTACGTTTCCTGTCAATTTTCTTGTTTTCCATTGTACTGTTCTTTGTTCTATTATCATTTTTATGTTCTGATCTTTTGCTGTCTTGTTTATTCTCAGTGTTCCTTTTATCCTTGTACCCATCAGTTTTATTCTGAGAACTACTTTCACTTTTAGAACTACTTTTGTCATTAGACCTTTCCCTTTTCTCACTGTGTTTATCTTGAGTGCTGTGACTCTTATCCTTTGACCTATCACTACTATGATTAGCACTGTGGTATTTGTTATTTAACACATCACTTGTATCTTTAGTAACATGAGTTTTGTCCTTTGAGCTATCACTCTTGTATTTAGAACTTTGACTTTTATCCTCAGACCTATCCTTAGAACTGTGATTTTTATCCTTGGAACTATCTTTAGAACTGTGATTTTTATCCTCTGACCTATCCTTAGAACTGTGATTTTTATCCTCAGACCTATCCTTAGAACTGTGATTTTTATCCTTGGACCTATCCTTAGAACTGTGATTTTTATCCTTGGACGTATCCTTAGACCTGTGATTTTCATCCATCTTGTCAACCCCCACATTTGAACTGCTCACCTTGTGTGATCGACTAGAATGTTCTCCACCAGCGCCATCACCATACCTGTCATTGTCGCCAGTCTGCTCACTGGACTGGGCTAGCATGCTCTTGTAGTACTCTTCTATATTGGAGGTCTCTGCGTACTCAGAGTCACTGTCCGTTAGGTCTTCCTCTGCATGCTGGGCCCCCAAATTATGGGCACTGGTTTTCCCAGTATGGGCAACACCATGATGTGTGATATCCTTCCCTTGATGGTGGTGGTTTACTGAACTGCTGTGTTTTTTGCTAGGCACATACTCCACAGCTGGGGTAGTTTCAGGCACATGTTTGTTCTTAGGGCTGGGGACATAGAGTGGTTGTTCATCCACTGAACGTTTTTTAATCTCAGACGTGTTTTTTTCATGTGGTTTGCCACTAGAAACACTATCAGAAGAGTTCTTTTCATGTCTGCTATGCTTGCTAGTAGAAGAATTTGAAGACAGTCTGTCATGGGTTCTGTCACTGTGTTTACTAGAGACCTGATCAGCTGATCTTTTTTCATGAGAAGTATTGATCGGTTTACTAAAACCACCATCTGATGCACTTTTATCATGTGGTTTGTGGTTGTGTTTACTAGAACCAACATCCGAAGAACTATCATGTGGTTTGTGCTTGCTAGAACCAACATCAGAAGAACTATCATGTGGTTTGTGGTTGTGCTTACTAGAACCAACATCTGAAGAACTTTTATCATGTGGTTTGTGGTTGTGCTTGCTAGAACCAACATCTGAAGAACTTTTATCATGTGGTTTGTGGTTGTGCTTGCTAGATGAATCTTTCCTGTCCTTCTCCTGCCTACTACTAGAGTGGTGATTTGAAGAGGACTTACCACCATGCTCAGATCTGTGGTTTTTACTGGTGCTGTCTGGCTCCACCTTCACATGGTGCTTGGATGACGAGTGACTATCTTTCCTGCTGGGCTTGGAATTGTGCTGAGTCCTGCTCTCTTCCTCCTCTTTTAGAGAGTTCCAGCTATCAGTATCACTGATATTATTGTCTTCTTTCTTTATTTTGTGTCTCTCTTGTTTCTGGAGGGAGGGGCTTCTGCTACTGGAAGGGCTACGACTTCTGAAATTAGAAAAAGAACAGTTGAAACATCTATTGCTATATAAATCTGACATGACTAAAGTTAGATTAGGAAAAAAACAAAAGATATTGTGTGGAAATTCAGCGTTGTATAACTTAATTTAAAAATAGTATGTAAATTATTCACTCATCATCAACAGATAATTTTCAAAACGACTAGCCAGAAATGTTCATTTGAACTAAACATATCCCATGTGATTACTTCAATTAGACTAGAACAGTGGTTGATTTGATAACCTACTAAATTCTGACGTCGCTCACTGGATACTTCCCAGTAAGGTATCTGACTGATACAACATCTAGTGACTGAGCATTGTGTTGGCCACACAGAAATGGGTGAATTCTACTACCTTAAACTTGATCTTCAAAACAGGCTGGTTTTGAAAAGGTTACTTTATAAAGCAACACTTGTTTAGTTTCTAATATTCAAATTTATCCTGCTAGATTAAGTTACAAATTTTCAGCAGTTCTACGCAGATCTTTCTCTAACTATAGTGATAGCTCCTCTGAGACAAACAGAAAGACATATATTCATATATACATGATTACCAAATCAATAACTTAGACGATAGGATGCTGTCTAATCATGGAAAAGCGGCTGGGCAAACCACACAACCCACTGCACAAGCAGAGGTCAAAGGTGAACTTTATTTGCTGTGCTTGAAATGGTACTTTAATTACTATAATTGTTTATTTACCTTTTAGTCGAGCTTTCCATTCTATCCACTTCAGTTTCAACTAAAGATTTCCAGAATGTGACCACCTCCTGAGCCTTTTCTCCGACGACCCCTTCATGTTTGCGAAAACTATTCACCAGCTTTCCAACACCTGTTTCCTAATTTTTTAAAAGTAAAATAAACCTTAAGAACTAGGAATCAATAATGAACATCACTTACATATCTAACTTATAGCAGTTGAATATGCTGTAATTTAAAGAGTGATTTGCATTTTAAAAAATGTCAGGCCTACCAGGCTGATAACTTTTCAACTTAAAAGTTAGATTTAAAAATTAAGTTTAAAAACTTAATTTCAATGTATATTTTGCAAGATTTTGCATGATTAAAATACTTGTTATTAATTTCAAATCATAACATTTATATATAAGATAAGAATATAAAGTTGTACAAGAATATAAAAATGTAAATGTAACATCACATCATCAACTTATCAAAAAAAAAAAGAAAAATAACCTGAAGTGCAGCTATTGACACATAAAGCCTTCTTAACTTGCCTAGGATCTCAAGTAACTGCAATGAACAATATATGGAATAATTAAAATGCAAGAAAACAAATAATCAGCTAACCTGATGGTTAATGGCTTAAGAAAAATACATTTAGTTAATAAATTATTTAAAAAATAAACTTAGGCCCTAAGTATCAAGCTATTTATATTCATTTAGGGCCTACAGGCCTTGTTTGTAACTATATTATTCCAGTATTTACTGTGGTTTATAGGTGAAAAAGTCTTTTAATACATTATATATATATATATATATATATATATATATATATATATATATATATATAGAGAGAGAGAGAGAGAGAGAGAGAGAGAGAGAGAGAGAGACAGAGAGAGACTGCATAGGGCCTAAGCCCTAAGCTTAATAATTTTGAACCGAATACTAGGTAAATATAGCCCATATTTTTAACTGAGCAATATTGAAACAGTAAGTTACTTAATTTTTTAAAAATTTAAAACTAAACAAATGGTTTCTTATATGAGGAAAATAAAATAATGATTAGGCTGTCGCTTAGGCCTATTTTACTATTATTTAGGCCTATTAGCTGCAATATTCTATAAGACAAGAGAGGACAAGAACTAAGTATCCTATAAAAAATAATATAGGCCCTAATATATTAGATCTAGATCTAGTTTATAAGTTTTTTTGGTTTTTTTTTATATGGCACAGACTTCAGTACAGGAAGATTCAGATGCATCTGCCAACTCAGCAGTTTGAAATCAGCTGAGCTGACACAGATGTAATTCTAGATCTAGATCTAGATTAGATCTAAAATAGAATGGAGGAAAAAAACAGACTGGACTTTAGTTCTAGTCTAGATATAAATCTAGAATTAGATGTCTCATAGTCATAGAACTCTTATCAGTTCAGTACGTACTGTACTAAGATCAAGAAGTAAGATTGAGTTTCTGTTTGAAACTTTCACTTTCATCAATCAATCGCGGACTTTAAAAAAAAAGAAATTGTTTACGTAAAAATAAAATTATAAAAAAAAAACCTTGACAGAAACAGTGCATAAATATATTCGTAACAAAAGAGACCATACCTTTTCTTCGTCTGGTTCTGCTTCTAAATCTGACTTGTATCGCCAAAGGCGTCGAATTGTATCTGCTTCAGCCATTTTCCAACCTTCCATCTGTTGACAATTTCTAGGTATTCTCTATGTATCGAGATCTAGAAAAAGATTAAACAACCGGAGGGAAAAACTAATAGCCTATCATTGATTTTCATAGATTATAGTTTATAGAATATTAAACATAAAATCCCCATCCATATCAACAAATATTCATTGCAGATTTTGTTTAAATCACAGTTTAGGCTAAATGCAGATTTATTTTAAAATCAATAGATTAAAATATAAATCAAGATCTAGATTTACATCTAAATGACGCAAGACTTGAAAGTTGTGTACAATTTAACCACTTGATAATACTTATTACTTAATATTTGCTTAATAATGCACTCTTATATAATACACTCTTATTGTATCCTAAAAAAACAGCAGCAACAACATAAACTTCGAAGCTATCTTTGTTTCATCTAATAATAGTCAAATATGTGTTTAATTTGTCGATAAAAAAAAAAGATTTTTTTTTTCTAAATTACCAGTTTTTGATTAGCTATAATAAGATCATGTAGAGTAGAAAAGAAAAATAAGATACAAGAACCGTTGGCAATTTTAGAATGTTTTGCCCGCTGGTCTTTTTAGATCTATACAAATTCATTAATTTAATGTACCTACCAACAAGTGAATGATACACGAATTTCTGTCTTCTCACGAATGAGTTGAGTTATAAGACTGGCCGTATAGACTAGAGGAATTTTCAAATGGAATATTTGGGCTGGTCAGCGCGTGTAAGCTACATTTATCGGTCCATTGCCCTGAGTAAATAAAGTTAAGGGCAGACAAACAACATGTGTTTTCTTTTAAGCAAATATGCTAAGTAAAACACAGTCTATAGTCAACATGGTGCGATGAATAACTAATACTTGAAGTGGGCACTTATAGGGTGATGACCCAACTATTATTAAAGTAAATAAACAGACTTGACATTAAGGAGACACCTCATTGAACGCGATGAACCGTAAACAAGACAAAGGGCAAGGTGGCAACGCTTTTCAGGTCAACGCCGGACTGAGATTGTGTCATCCCGGTCACGTGGGTGATTTGAATGGGGAAAATATGGTGGGTCGGGTCAGCAGGCGCCGATGATAATGTTTGATCAGAGTGTTGTGACCGTGTCAATTACAAACAAATATAGTAGAGCCCTTAAGGGAATTTTTAGAGACTAAGTCATACCAAACTTTGGCTTCTGATTGGTTATGCTAGCGATTCGAATATTAAAGGAAGTTGGTTAATCAACTATCACAAACGAGTGTGTAAAACGTATTTTTTTTGGTAAGATAAATAAATAAAAGTTTAAAAAAAAATTATATTTGAATATACCAAATTTTGTCAACGGCGGAGGTGGGGTGTTGCTTGACACTGGTTGAAGTAAATATTTTCTTTATAACATATTTTTTTTTTCTATTTCGTCCGAGAGTGTGTGGGGGTGGGGGAATCTTTGGGTGCAGTGCCCCACCGAAGATATGCCTGAAAGAAACTCTGCCCGCCCTCGACGAAGTAGAAAAATTGTATAGGCTACTTAATAGATAAAATATATATATGCCTAAACTAAGCAGTGTCTGCTCCCCCCCCCCCCCCATGGAATTTAAAGGAATTTAAAGTGCGCCCTCATCTACGTTTCAGTGGCCCCCTCAGTCAACCAGCTATGATGGGCGGACAGTATTTCTTCCAGACTTTTTTTCTCCGTGGTGCGGCACTTGATATTTTCGGGGGGAGGGGGGGTGGCTCACGGGACACTGGTAAAAGTATGTTTTCTATGTAAATTCCATTGCGTTCGGAGGGGGGGGGGCAAAGGTGGGGCTTCACTGGAAGAAACTCTGTGGGCGGACTCAGGGACGGCGGGGCATAGAACTGACCAAGCTACCTTTTTTTTATATGATGTTAACACAGAAACAGGAGAGCTCTACTTTATACATCCTGTTGACAGCCAGGCTTGACAGGGTAATTTTACAAAACCATTTGCTGAATGAACAAAATGATGAATTTAAACTGTCAACTTTTGAGCACGAGTAATGTATAAATAAGGTTGCATTTTGTTTTAAAGTGTATGTAAGGAAGGTGGTTTTAATAATCACGGTTTGTTTGATAACATCAACATTATGAGCAAATAATGTGATTAAAAATACATCATAGACATCAAAATCTCATTCCCGATTACCACGGAATGTTAACGAATTTTTATACGGAACTAGCGAACCCGCCGTGCGTTGCTGAGATCTAGTCCAACATTACATGGTGAAGATACATTGTATAAGGGTTTCATTAACGCGTTACCAATTATGTATGTTTTTAGGCGTGAGACAGTCTTTTCTAAAACAAATATAATTAAGATGATAACGACACGGCGCTATATTTCTCTGGAGGCTCCCCTTGGTTTGATATAGTCAGGGGTCATCCATAAATGACGTCACGCTTTTTTGACGATTTTTACCTCCCCCCCTCCCCTCCGTCCTACGAGTGTGACGTCATTTATGGACGACCCCTCATCACTTATTTTTATTATCCCTCCGTATCCCTAGTGTATGGCGCTTATTAAAACAAATATATGCGCCGTAGCAGTAGCGTAGAGAGGGGAGGGGGCGGGGGGGGACATATGTCCCCGAGAGCCGACCTTAGGGGGCGCCAAATTGGGTTGGAAAAATAAATTGAAAGGTTGACGGGGGTGTAAATCAAAAGTTTGAAGGGGGGGGGGTGCAAATCGAAATCTTGAGGGGGGGGGTGCAAATCGAAAGTTTGAGGGGTGGTGTGCAAATCGAAATCTTGAGGGGGGGGGGTGCAAATCGAAAAGTTTGTCCCCGGGCGCCGGGAAGGGTCGCTACGCCTCTGCGCCGTAGTACTCAAAAGGGAGCTCGGGGTGCACAGGGTCACATGGAGCCGGCTGATGCGGCTGTGCAGTTCGAACGTTGAGTCAAGTAGTAACCCTGGCCCACTGCGCACGACTCCCAATCAACGGACCGACGTTACTAAGATAGCCGCTGGGTAACCACTGTGTGGCAAACCGCACCACTCTACAGTCGGGGCCACGACCAAAACCAAACAAAGGTTGGACAAAGGCAAGGGAAGCAAATCAAAAAAGAAAAAGCAGGCTGAAATTGGAGTCAACGAAATGGAGCATAAACAGTTGATACGTAATATTTAAATTTAATTGTGTTGGAGGGAATTCCTTCCAACACTAGTATTAAGAACAAAGAAGAAGACTAGTCTCTCAAGGTACCAAAATCAAAATTCCCCAAGGGGTCTGGCGGTGTGGTAGTTCCGCCCCTGATTGGTACACACGTTTGATACTTGTAGTAGCTCGTTTTTGTAATAAATATTATTTATGTTTAGATCTAGTTACCTCCCGTTTATATATTCATTTTTATCCAGGGAAACAACTATAAATTGTGTTATCAGAAATCGTTAAATTTAGTACAGTTCTGTAATAATAAAAAAAAATAAAACGTATTTATTTATTATGTTTGTAGACATAACTAATTAAAGCAATATAAGACTGTTTCTTTAAATCGTTTTATTTAATAGATTTTTAAAATTTCGACACCAGTTTTAAAAAAACCTTTAGCTGAATTTTATGATTAATTTGTTTTAACAAAAGTGGCTACTACAATCGCCAATATACGCCAGACAAAAAATTATTCCTCCAGTGTAAGGAAAATATTTTTATGAAGTTAATAGGAATGGCAAAGGAAAGGGTGTTGGGAGATTGCGAAAAGCGAAATGGCGAGGCGGGAAATGCGAGAAGATAATGCGAGACATACCTGCGGAATTAAGGGTAAATAGCGAGACACTTTTTGCGAAAAAAAAGTTTTTTTCATGTTTTTTCATCTTTATTTAATTAAATTATTATTTTTTTTTGTTTTAAAATAAACAAGCTTTTAGCCATACCCTTTAACACGAGTGTTGTATGTTGTTATTTTGTTATCTAGCTTTTATTATATAGATAGATAGATACTAAGAAGATAGATAGATTTATATCTAGATCTATCTATTTAAAAATCCTAACATCATTGCTGTACTACTGTCATCGCCGGCTCTCGTTAGCTTGAGGAAAATCCCGTCTCAGTCGGCATTAATTTTAAAAATTTAGCCCGCTCATGTTTATACAAACGTGTCATTGTGAATTGGTTTAATCTTGTCAGCAGGAGAGATATTCTGCAACATGTATTTATGGATTTTTGTACTTTCAAAAAGTGTTAAAGTATAAACAATTCTAAAAAGTGCAATTTTTTAAAATTAAGTAATTTTAATTACAAACAAAATTTACAAACAAAATCTTCTGAAACAGTCCTAGCACTACTCAAACACACCTCGTCACACCATCTTTCACACATAGTACATCCAACCCAGTTCATTAGACTCCCATTTATACTGTGCTAACACAGAACACGAATATGAACAGAATGGAAAAAAAAAAATAAAGTCCGCTATCGACAAAACTAGCATTTAATAGCTAAAAGGGGTCATCCATAAATGACGTCACGCTTTTTTGACGATTTCCCCCCCCCTCCCATCCGTCACACAATTTCACAAAAATCCAGAGCCCCCCCCCCACTAAAATGACGTCACACCTCAGCCTACAACCTCCTTCAAAATAGCAGTTGAATTTTTTTTAAAAACATCGATATTATCCCAAAATCTTGTCTAATTTCTGTCCAAATAGAGTATTTTAATCAATTCCTATTACAATTTATTAAAACAGTTTTCTAAAACGCGAAATATCGTCTAAAATTCTTTTTCTAACATTGCTTTTTTATATTGTGACGTCACAATATCTAACCCCCCCCCTCCTCCTCATAACACATTTCTATTCAAAAATACAAAATATGTTTGCGGCGGCAGCGGATTCGGGCACGGCGATCTTCAAAGACGGTAAATCAGGCGGCCTCGGCGTTCCACACAAAAGAAAGAAGTTGATCTATCGTCGGCGGTATTTCCGTCGGTTTCGAACAAGGTGGTATTCTAAGTCGACACAAAAGATGGGGGGAGTTGACAAATCATCAGTATGTCT